ATAAACAGCAACTGACGTTCGCGATTTAGTGGCAGTGACGTCACCACAGAGTTTGTGCCTGGCTAGGTTCACCTTGAGGCCACGTGAAGTTATCAAAGTGTATAGACCAACTGTGCCAACTGTCTCTTTTAGCCGCCCGACGCTCTGCTTGTTGTTGTGAGCGTCACTCCTCTGCCCTTCGTTGTTGCTGGATGGCGACTGCCTCAAACTACCCAGCAGTGTCCTTCACTAACCTCCTCCACAGAGGCTAATCTTGATACTGCTGGTACCAATCATCAGCTACATATATTTCTGTACCACATCAGTCCATCTCTTCTCTAGTTCGTGCCTTCCCCATTAAGCCCCTTCTTTCTGGCCAAAGCAGAAGCTGTTTGGGCATGCACGCTACATGACTCAACCAACTCAGCCTTACTTGCCGGAGGAGCTCACTGATGGGACTGCCCAGATCTTTCAAGATCTGTGAGCTCAGTACAGTATATAGTACTGCATCTACAGACTGCCACAAGTGCCACCACTCGACAGCATCCAGAAGCTTCCGTAAATTTTTTTTTGGATACATGAAGGAAGATTTGTATTGCCATCTATAACAGATGGCGGTTAGTAGAGCATTCCAGATGGTAAAGTGCCAAATAACAAGAGCTTTTTCCGCGTTAAAATAACCCTATTATGCAATCTGGGGACTACTGAGCAGGGTTCAAGCATATCCTCTAAGGCATTTGTTATCTACCAGCGAACATTCCAAACGATGCTGGGGATTGCTTCTCAAGGCTGACTCGGAAACAGAAATACCCCCCCCCCCCCCTCGACAATTGCATTCCAATTGTGCTTTCAGAATCGTGCCATGCAAAAATAAGTTTCCATTTCAAACTTTTACAGCTTGCAGTGATAGAGGCCAACCTATTGTCACAAATCGGCCCTCGAAGATGACATTGCGTAATTTCTCATGCGATGTCAGTTATGTCTCTATCTACTGTAGCATGGGGATAGCAACGTCAATATCCCTCCCTGCTTAGAGTGTTGATCACATGTTGATTTTAAACGGTTCATCTTTTAATTCTCAGAGCAGGATTATTGCCGAATTAAGTTAAAAACGAAAGTTAATTTAAAAGGGATTTTCTGTGCCAATTAAGCTGAGACCATCAACTCCCTGCAATTGAGAACCCAGTTTAATCATGGGTCACTGAAATCCTTGCTTGAAATCAACAATTTTACTGGTAAAAAAACTTCGTGCTATGTCTGCTGAGACACCAGAAATAACACTTCCAAATTACCTGTGTGCCTTTATGTAATTACTGTGATTATGCGTTAATTTCTCCAAAAGTCAGTTACAGCTCCTGAATTATGATTTCCTTATCAAAATGATGATGTCAATGTTGAGAAGGTGAGCAGGATGGTGATTGGACAGATATATCAAAAGTGTGAAGGTAGCAGGCTGAGTTGATACGAACAGAGCTGCACTATGCTCTGGACTCAGGCTGTCCTCTTGAATAGACTTGTTGAGAATTCCTCACGTTTATCTGCACACTAATGTTAAGTCATCATAACTTATCGGTCTATTTTTATGTCTGCACAGGCCTAAGATGTCATGACCTCTCGTCATTAGCGGTACCTCGTGACAAAGGGTTATATGAAAGGATAACATATGAGAAATGTCTTTTTATGTCTATGATGATAAATCATTGTTTGAATAATTATCCTCCTACACAGGATTTGCTTTTAATCTTGCCAGCAGTTCCTTGTCTATATATGCATCATTATCAGCAGCCATGGTCAATCCACTGTTGGATGATGGCCTCCCCAGGCCACTATCACCTCTCCTAAACATGCGATGCAACAATCCACCTATCAACTGCGCACAAACTTATTTTAACACTCCATCCCTTTGGTGGTAATATATATGCATACGTGCATATAATAACTTAATAGTTTGCTTTTATGAAAAATTGAATGTGCGACGTTGGACTAGTTCCTAAAAAAGCAATTGTTAGCTGATGAACGGGAGAAGCTTGAGACGTTTATTGAAGGTATATTTCAGCAAAGCAGTAAAAGTGTTACTCTTTGATACCTAGGGTTGTATCCATTGTGCAACCAAACAATGAGAAAACATAAATTTTACATGTTCTGCAGGGTAGTCCAATATAAACAGCGGGGTTGACCTGTTGGAACTGCTGGATAATTTGCCACATTGACTTGAGTGTTTTTTCGTACTCAATGATTACTCAAAGCAATATAATGTAAACCCACTTTCATTAAAATTTTTAATTTAGGGTTTTCCACTTTCGTTAAATTTCTCACCTTTTGTTTTGTGTTGGTCAATTGGTTTTACATTTTATTTATCATATTAATTGTGTTTTTTTGCCTTCCGGGAACATTGTGGTGTGGTTTTAACTATGTGCTTATCCCCGTAAAAAACAATCCCCTCTAAATAATTGTTTGCTGCTAAACCAAGAATGCAGGAGTGAATAAAAATGCACATAAGTGCCTTGTGATGAATTTTATCGCAAAATTACTAATTAATGTCAGTCATACAACTTGACTTGAGAAAAATGAAAAATACAAATAGTTTTTTTAAATGAGGAAACACATGCTTTGGTATAGAAATGTATCATTTTCTTCAGGGTTAGTGAATAACAACTTTACAAGAATATTAAGTGTCACCAATACCTTTCAACCCTTGGTATTGTTTCTTTTACTTATCATTTTGTACATTAGAGACGTTCATTTTGAAATGGTTCATTATCTGTAACTTGTGGCACAGTGTAATGCTTATTAATCAGTTTATTAATCAGTAGAATTTTAAATTGTGCCTATCATGCAAATGTCGGAAAATGCAAACAAAAGTGGTTATTAAAAATTAAACAGTCTTGGCACACTCAAAATGCACTTTGATTTAAACGACTGCAGCTGATAGTATTTTTTTGTGTGATAGCATGACCCTTATCCAGTGGATGCAGATACATATTTTTAATGACTTTTGGATTAAATGAAGATACATTCACATTTTCTATAGTTTAACAGGTGTGGCTGCCACATGTATTTATTTCCATTTTAATGATAACAGTACCTCTTAATACAGTCCATGCTCAAAGCACCCATATGCTTTATGCTATTTAAGTGATTGTCTGGCTGGTATTTTATGGTAATTGAGAACTGCTCATTCCCTCAGCTTGAACTCAACCTCTTTAAGATTATGAGATCTTCCCCTACCCATAATACCTTCCAAATAACAACATGTGGCATACAAATGAATACTGACATGTGGTGAGCATTTCAAATAAAGATGAGGAAAAAAAGTACGAATTCCATTTTCAGATTTAGTTTTTCTGGAGCATATGCCTGAAAGTTTGAAATAAATGAAGAGTGAAGTACATATTTTTTGGTTTGTAAATGTTTTTAAACATTTAATGCATTATAAATATCTATACCATGCGTGAATGCAGTTTTCCATTTCAGTAATTGCATGTGAAATCGTGTATTTACATAACTGGGCACATGTTTCGATTTAAAGCTTTCGTGACTGCAAGGATTCATCTTCTTTGGTTATTTCGGTAAAGTCACGTAGAATGAGAATAAAATCATAAAATAAAATAAAATAAGACGATAAAATTCTCACGACGTTTCGGCCACAACACAAGTAGCCTTCATCAGGTGAAAGAACAGAACTGTCGGGATGACAGTGCTCCAATATTTCATTGTGTTATGGCTGAAACGTCGTGAGAATTTTATCGTCTTATTTAATTTTATTCTCATTCTACGTGACTTTACCGAAAGAACCAAAGAAGATGGGCACATGTTGTACATTTTTTCATACTATATGCAATCCTGCCATATACACCAGGCAGGAGTCTGTAAAAGCAGATGTGTTGGGGAAAAAAGACTAACTTCAATAAGAACCACCTTATGCCATTGTGATTTATAGTGTACTTTAAATCTCATTGCAGTATAGGAATATAGATAGCGAGGATTACATTTTGTTTTATTTTCAAGGGACAATCGGGATCTCATGGGAGGAATTTTACTCTTGTCCCAAGTCAAAATGGAAAATTACGTTTCCACAAAACCTCACAGTAAGCAAATCTAAAAACTTGCTTAAAATACATCTATTTTACAATGAACTGTTAGTTCTGGCTGTTTAAAATTAATAATTACATTTTCCAAGAGAGCATTGACTGTGCAATACAACTGGCAGTGGTTTAAGCTTACATTTTTGTAAAATCTTTCATCTCAAATAAAAGATGATAAGAACCTCATGTTCTAAGCAATGGTACCATCATTAGATCATCCTTTGTAATTTGAGCTCATGCTTTATTAACACTGCCCACAAGTAACAAGGCTACATCCCATTTGGGGAGAGTGCCATAGACTTGATGTTTGATCTCTTAGCCACAGCAGGTTGTCTATTTGAGGAAATATTGAATATAAGAACTGTGAGTTTCATTTTGATCCAGCTATCCAAAACTGACAAGAATAATTGTATATTTTAGATATGTTGAAAACAACACATTTTTATCGTGTGCAGTTCCTGTTGGCTCACTTAAAAACAAACTTTTGTAGACGATTCCCATAGTCCTTGAGCAAAGGGGGTTGGTCAATACCACCTGGGCTGGTAAATGCTGCCAGTATCTACTATGGGCAGTATCCACAGTAGACAGAAGTCTTAGCATACATACATACTGTCTGTTGCATAGACACAGCCAATATTAATTTTCAAAATGCATACATGTTTCACAATACATTGGTATATCTAATTTCTTCAAATTGATATTGTCTATCAAATATACGACAGCACCCTTATTTAACAAAATAAAAAAATCTCATGAAAAGCTACCTTGCTGTGGTCTTGCAGTCATGCACATTTCTGATCTTGAGGGAATAACTGTTAGCATTCACCACTCTGGAGTGGTGTTGATGAATCACGTTTGGGCCAATGGCTCAAGGATCTGATGGTAGACAAGACATCGTAGTGCAATTGCTTGGCCTCTCTTTCCTTCTCCCTCCAGATGACAGTTTGGAGAACAGAGCAGCGGCTGCATATTCCCGTCCCTCTGCACTGGCGGAGCCCCTGCCCATCTTTTTGACAGAGCCCAATGACGGCTTCATAGTGCAGAACAAGCCGGTGACGCTCGACTGCTCAGCCTCCCCAGCCACACAAATCTACTTCAAGTGCAATGGGGAGTGGCTCCACCAGAAGGCCCTTTACACTCAAGAACACCTCAGTGAGATCACAGGTAAAATGAATGGAATAACAAAACAAAAAAAAAGGAGAATGTGCTTGAGAAATTATGTTGTGGTGTTGCTGCTGCGATTATTCACTTACTTAACCAGGAAAAAAAAAAAACCTCGAGTTTTTAGACTCATTTTCAGGAGGGTACTACTTTTTGATGTTTGTCCAGTTCCTTAATGAGCTTTGGCTACTTTGTGCATTTGTATTTCATTCTAATTTTTTTTGTTAAATGCCATTTCTACGGTATTGCATTATTATTCGCAGGAAGGTACTTTATGGGTTTCGGTTTTATTTTGCTGCAGGTAAAACCCATTTGGGATAAAATGTTCATTGTCGATGGTTACACAACAAAGATATGGTTACAGCAAAGAAAAAAACATGAACAAAACAATCCAAAAAACAACTATACATGGTCAAGTTCTGATTGGCAAGGTCATGCATCAGCATGGTACAACCAGCACAATAAATACAAACTTACAGGACGGCCACAGTCCATTATCATTCCAGGGTAAATAAAACGAGTACCACTGTTGCTGCTTGTCAGTCGGTCAAATTTATTTTGATGGCGAAGACAAGAGGACCACGTACCAGCTCGTCAGGAGCTGCTGATGGTTTTTTTTAATACTACACAAAGGCTGGGCGCATGTTGTACATCATTTTTTTGTGTTTTACTTACGGACTCTAAACCACTGCAGTAGCCGATGATGCCCACGGCAAACACTCATGGTGGACATGATATTGGTGTGTCCTCATTCCTGTGACATTTATAACTCTCCCCAGCGGCTGGTGTGTGGACCACAGTGGAACAGCATTAGGATGAACACCAACTGAGTCCAGATTTTTCTCTATTTTTTTGTGCGCACAGGCAAGAGGGACAACATATTCCATTGGAACTTTTTTTCACACTTTCAGTATTCACTTGTTCATGATGTTAATGCGCGTAAAAAGGTTCGTGAATAATATGCCAACAATATTGATTTAATGATTTTCCAACCTAAGGCCACGGACACTGCTTGAGTGGGTGCGCCAATCTCCAAAACGTGGCAAATGTGGGGCTCACTTAATTTAAATCTTCCATTCTTATCATGGCTCCCTGCTGTAGTAGTCACTTGCAAATGCTACCTCGCACCCCATTCATGAAAACATATGTCTGTATTTTCATACAATCACAATGATGCCTTTTAGGCAAGCCATAACGTGTAAAAGCCATTGTTCATTCAAATATGTGCAGTATGTTTTCAGTTTGCTTTTTTGAAGACCAATTACATTTTCTGAACTTCGTCATATTTATAACATGAATCTCAGCAGAAGTTTCATCACGCATTTCATGATAATGCATATATATCGCATTGCCAACTACATGGGTAAGCAACGACAGTATTAAAAAAATGGCTTATGGGCATTTAGTATGACATTCAATTAAAGAATGAGTCAACATTTGTAGGAAAACATGAAAGTATTTTTTTTAGTAAAAATATCATTATTATGAGAATTCACATTCTGTACAGAACATGCATTTTTTGTGCCAGATGGTCTAAGCACACCTAGGAATTTTGCTTGTTTGAAATCAGAATTTTCCACTTTCAGCATATTGTTGATCAGGTTGTCAGGTGCTATGGACCCACCAGCACTATTTTAAAGAAAGTCAAGGACTATGTGTCACAAACTTGCCAATTCCACTAGCTGGTATATGTGATTTATGTTTAGATAGTTTTGGTTCAGCAGTTAAAAGTTTATTGTAACTTCTGCTTGTGAGGCTTTAACCCATGAAAACGATATGATATGTATAATTATACATATATATTGGCATTAAGTTATAGTTTTGATATTCAGTACCATTGTGCTTTGACCCAGCACACAATGACCTACTGCTATTCATAGTAATGATGGCTCCAACATAACATTGCCATAAATAACGCTCTTAAATCATAATAATGTCACTTTGCAGAGAGGCAATCTGCCATGTCAATGACAGGTACACCAATTGCTTGATGGAGAAGGATGTTAATATATTGGCCATGGCAAAATAGATTGGGATATTCCGTATAACTATTTGTCATACTCTTGCATTGATAAAATTTGATAAATTTAAGTATACCTATCAATGAATCCCTTTAAGAATAATGTGAAGTGCTGAAAAAATTACACGTGACTCTGTAATTTCACTGTAAAGGTGCAACATCTTGTAGCAAGTATAACGTCCAAATTGTAAGAGTAATTGCCAATAATTGTTACAACTTTACAATGTAATTCTTCGCAAACTGTGAGTTGAAATTGCAGTTTTAATGCTGCAGTATCATGTCTTTATTACTTGCAGTGGAAGGAAATTCATTTTCTTTTACTGTCTGACATTAATCCTTATGTTGAAGTTTCCCAAGAGCTTTTCAAAGCACTCGGACCCTCAATGACCTTCTGTGGGATTCTATTATCTGGTACCTGGTGGCCAGGAAACAGGCTTATGCTATGTGTCCACAAGCTGATTAAATGAGAGGATGAAATGACCCACCGAGCAGAGCAAAGATCAGGCATGGTACTGTCCTTTAAATAAAACTTAGCCCCTACCTTTGCAGAGATATATGTACCCCCGCAGTTATATCCAGTGAAGATAATAACTTGCTCTTTCACCTGCATTTCTCCAAAGGCGTTATAGAATTGAATGTGGCAAAGTAGCGTTTGCATTTTTACCATGAAAACATCACCAGGAATTCTTGTTAAACAATATTAGTACGCCGTGGTAGAAATGTAACTGTTTAAAACTCGTCAAGAACAGTATAACATTGCCCTAAACCAGTATATTATGCAGAAGTTAGTAATCTGAGTAAATAATATTCTAAATGTATAACCATGACATATATTTTGTAAATTTCAGGTATTGTCATTTGAAATGATGTTGTTGTGCTAATGTTGCATTATATTTTGTTATATAAGTAGTATTTACAAATGTATTTTTTTGACAAATAATATAGTCTCATATTGATTATGAGATGCATCAATATATTAAGGTAAAGAAAATATGTATATGATGATTTGTCTATGATTGAAAACAAATCGGTTATACCCAAGAATGTTCGTAACGCTCATGACGTCACTCCACATCGACCATCCCCTCTAATTAATATTCATGAGCAGGTGACGTCCTACAAATGGACACCCCCCCCCCCCACCCCTCATTCATAATCATGAGCGGGTGACGTCACTCAATATGGAGTAGTCCCCCCCCCCCCCCTCACTAATAATCATGAGCAAGTGACAGCACTCCACATCGCACAGCCCCCCTCATTAATAATCATGAACAGGTGACGTCACACCACATCGAACAGCCTCCCTCAATAATCATGAGCAGGTGACGTCACTACACATAGAATAGCCCCCCTCATTAATAATTATGAACAGGTGACGTCACACCACATCGAACAGCCCCCCTCAATAATCATGAACAGGTGACATCCTCCAAATGGACACCCCCCCCCCCCCCACCATTAATAATAATTAGAGGCTTTCGTAACTTCACATGGGGTGGGCGAGGCGACAAAGGCAGAACCCTCACGTCACGTGATATTCGTAACGCTATTGAGACATCAAAGTAAAAAGGACGTCCTGATCAACAAGGGATTACAACCTTAAAATGAAATAGGTCTGTGCCCTTACAAATTGCGCACGAATGGATGCAATGAATATCACGTCGTGGTCTGATTTTCGCTTGCAAGTTTCAGATTTACTGCAATACACCCGTCCTTGGACGGGCAAAAGGCTATTAATGTATATTCATATTTTATGATTGTATTGATTCTTCACACGCAAAAATGAGGCTTGTTTTAGTCATGTTTAGGGATGAAGAGATGAATAAGGTTTTATGAAAGGATACAAGTGGTAAAACATCTATATGTGTATGGGGATTGAACGCTGTGAAAGTCTTGGAATTCTCTGATAAACTACGCCTTTGTGCTGGACAGTGATTTTTTGTTTGAGAGAGGGGATAAATGAAAGCCATAGGACTTATAAAACACACGCAAAAAAAAACCTCTTGCTGCCTTCTTATATATATACTTTCCTGAAGCACGTACAGACATAGCGATGAGACTGCTTGTGACTGAAAATCAATGGTATACTGAAGAAAGAACACTTGCAATGAGGCGGCTGGTTGGCTTAAGCAGCTGATGTCTGTTTCAGAGCGCAGAGTAGGTATCACGAAAGTCCTCTTTAAATATGGCCATCCACTCGTGATTAAACCAGATTCACATCCATTGAGTTGATGTTCTCAGCCCAGTCACGTGTGAATGAATGCATTTGGTTTTTCGCTTAACCTAATCCACCTCTGAGACCCAACATATATTAGATCTATGCCATGCGGTGTGCTCCTCTTTGAAGGGGAGTGTGATCGAGTATTAGGTAAGAGCGTTATATTGAAAGACTTATGAAGCATTTGCAGTTCTGTGATATCATCTTCTGGAGCCATTCTCTGACATTCAAAATATACAACTCATATGGGTGGTACAATGTCACCTCTGTTTTAGCAAGCATGCGTTATAGTTGTAAAGTGTAACATAACATGCTATTTTTATGGGATCAAGGGTTGCCAAAAGTGTAAGAACATTCGGACCTATTTTCCATTTTACCAAAATGTTTTCAAATGAGATACGCCTCTTCAAAAATATAGCCATTAGATTAGGGTCATTAACATTTGAACAAAAATTAAAACATAGCATAGTGGGTGAATGTACTTTAATGAGATTTTTAGGCACACCCTTTTGCGTATAAAATATGCGAACTTTAATTTGTTGATTCTTGTATATGTATACATCCAAGTGGGTTCATATCAGAACAATTTATTTATAATGATTAAGTATAAATAAAAACATTGATTTGATGACGAACATTTAATATGTGGTTTTCACACCTGATGATGATTGCTTGTGTTGCAGTCGAAACGTCGTGAGAATTTTATTGTTTTATATTTTTATTATTTTATTGTTTCCCTTCTACGTGACTTTACCGAAAGAACCAAGAATATGAATCCCTGCAGTCACGAAAGCTTTAAATCAAAATTTAATGTTATTTGTAACATAATTGACAACTTTAATGGGCTGACCTGTGATGAATAACAGCTTTGGTTGCTGATAATACATCGAAAAATCGCAACACGAAATGTTAATTTATTTGTATTAGCACCATAGTGTACTGCTAACCACAATATAATTTCATTGCACCACTTTAAGACCAGATAAGGCCAAAATGCATAGTTACAGATTGGTATATTGACAGCCATCTGATAACATTTATAAAAATGTCAAATAATTTAATGTAGGTTGCAGTAGGGAAACTGCAGAAAATGCCCTATGATTATAATCGCGTGTTATCTCACTAGTGTTTGCGTTAATCCCTTCCCTACACAAACACTGTGTAGTTTGGTGATTTTGTTTAACCACTCTAATTTGCAAGTGGCATTTTAGTCATCAAAATGGAAAAAAAACAGATTAAAACCAAAAACAGCAGGTTAAACAAGCTTGGATATATAGCACATACATTTTCATGGACAGTCATCGCACAGACAATGTTGCATTATTGTGTGTTGTCCTTCATTGTGCTGTTTGTGATGCACTTGTATGACCATGCAGGACAGGTAGTTCGAGAGGTCCACACGAATGTGTCAAGGCAGCAGGTGGAAGATCCTTATCGTCTCGAAGATTTCTGGTGTCAGTGTGTTGCCTGGAGTGCATCAGGGACAACCAAGAGCAGAAAGGCCTTTGTCAAAGTAGCACGTGAGTTCAGTTCAGTTCATTTATTTGGTATTGCCCTGTGAGCCATTCGGCTCTTGATTCGGGTGCAACCGCAACAAACAATTACATTAACAAGACACATTTAAAATTGACTGCACGCAAATAGAAACATCTAGGGAAAAAACATTAAAATCTTCCAGAAAAAGCGCCGTTAGTTTATGCTGTGTGCAAAAATCCCAGTTGGATGAAAGTAATGTCTAACTCTATACTGCAACAAACAAATATGGCAAAATTCAATCTTATTCGAAATCACTAAAATAATGCTATTAAAACAATGTTAAAGTGTACATAGGAACTGTGATCGAAATTTAACAATAGCGATATGCATAACATATACTGTACTACCAAACTTTTCAGCCATCGTTGGCTATATGAGTCACTCCATGACAGCACGAGTATCAGTTGGAGAAGCAGCACACTAGAATCAAAATACATGCTCATTCTTTGCTGAGGTCATCCGTTGCGATATATTTGATTTCAGGCCAGTTGATCGCAGTGGCAGCTAGGGTTGTACAACTCCTCTAGAGTAGTTTTTAGTGATGATTTCACAGGTAGTGATCCAAGTTGCAGTTTATTGGCGATAGCATTCCAGACCCTGAGTGACACAGCACAGTGTTTCCCATGCATTATATAATATACATTATCACAGGCGGACTGTACCGTTCAATTTTACATGATGTGTATTATTAAATTAAAATTTCTAAAGAGACTGATAAATATTTCCGAATTAAATCTTTGTGCTACAATATCTGATTTGTTGGTTTGTGAATCCTTAAGTGTGCAATTGTATTGAAACAAGAGCATAATGAAAAGAACATCATGCCATGCAAAGTACAAGCTGGCTGTGGTATGTTTAGGAGTGGAAACTGTTTTTAATGCTCATTCTTATGAAAAAGGATTGATTGTGAAACGTAATTTTTTTCTACAGATAACATTTATTTTCGAATAATTGTATTTTGTTTGAAAAAAATGTTAACTTGAAATATTAGCAATTATCTACTGCCACTGAATTCTGTAACTGCCTCTGTTAGAGCAATAAGGGAATGTCTGTAGAAAGCTAATGTATTGGAGTTCATATTTGATATAAATTATAAATACACATTTCCGTTTTCATATTCGTTGCTGCAGTGTCAGGTCATAGGTCATCCCCGTGTTGGGGGGAAATAAATGACGGGAAACAAAAACAATGAAACCCTTGAAATACATCAGTTCGAATTAATTCGCTTTGTAAGCCAGCCAAATATTTCTCCAAAATAATATATTACACTGTCTTTTTATTCATCTCTCTGGCAGATCTACGAAAGAACTTTGAACAGGAGCCCCTGGGAAAAGATGTTCCCCTAAATCATGAAGTCCTGTTGCACTGCCGACCTCCTGAAGCTATCCCACCTGCCGAGGTGAGAAGCAGCATCACATGAGTGGCCGAGAAGCGTCAGCGATTGAAATACAACTGTGCTTCCCTCTGCATCTGCTGACAATTAATTTGAACCAAAAATGATCTCCTGTAAGGACGCCTTAGCGTTGACGGTTAAGCGTATTATTTATTTCCTCGCAGCAATTAACATAGCAGCGGCAGAAAATGCAAATTAGCGAGTTGTATATTACAGTGCAGCTTAATTGCCTTTATTCTGCATGTTGCAAGTAGGTTAACGACTATTAAATTTGTGATGCTCCAGTGAACTTAATATATTCCTGTAATTTTCTGCCCAATTATTGTAATCAGCAGGTTGCCTAGGATGTAAAAAGACAAACTAAGTCATCCGGTTACAAGCTGAAAGCCATTGCTGCCTGTATTCTTCCTTATGTCACCTCTATTCATCTTGTACTAAACATAACGATGGTTAGATGCAGTGAACTGTGTTGCGGTAATAACTGTTTATCGTTGCACCGACGCAGTGTTTTATAGACGCATGTAATTTATAGCAATGTGATGTGCATTGTGTCTGCATGGCCCACAGGCCGAATTTAATCACTTAACACTCGAAAAGAGCAAAAGCCATATGCTGCTTAAATGCCCTCCCACCCCCTCCTGTGCTCGATACCTCCTGGCTGAGCCACTTTTGATCCAGGAATTGTGACACCATCATGAATGCCTTCTCAGCAATGATCACTTTTAACTTTTGAGCTCTTCATTCGCATACCCACTGCGAGGATCCTTGGGTGATGTTAAGGATTGCCTCTTTGTGGTATCCTAAAAGCAATCTCGCCATCGAGGGATATTTATAGCATTTCACGTGGCCATATTGAGTGCATAGATTTGCCACTGGTGAGCTGTGGATACTCTGTTTATGCAAGCTAATGTCAAGTTCATGTACTCTTTGTGGTCAAGAAATTTTTACAACTCTTGAATTTTTTTTTTTAATAAAAAGCCCATGATTCTAAAACATGGAGCTGTCATTTGTGATGATGTTGTTAAGTAGAAGCGAAGCACATTAAATTATCCTGAAGACCCCAGGGCTCTCTGGCATGAGTTTGTGGAATCCAGCAGGGATATTTGTATTCAATTTATTTATTTAATTTGGTCTGCTTGGCTGTCAACCAATGCTTGAAGTGATAATTTTGTCACCAGCAAGAGATTTGCGTGTGTTTCACATTTTAGTCACAAGTAACGTGTTTTTTGAGTGGCATGTTTTGGGTGATTGAGACTTGGGCTTAGCATGCTATATGTGCGAATTATGCATCCACAGAATTTGGACATTATATTTATTTTAACAGGTTTCCTTAAATATATATAATAATGAAAACGTTATTTCTTACATGTGCACATACACCATCAATAAACAGCAAACACTTACATCAATATGCAAATACTTTTTGGTTTATTTAATTTACCTTACGTTGGATGTGTGGCTCAGCAATCATTCTCATTCAAATACAACTGCTGTATCCATCAGCTTATGGCTGCTTGCATAAGGCAGCATGGCATAATTCCCAATGCAAAATATGCAGAAATTTTCAATGTGCACCAAAAGAACAGAAATTAGCCCTGCATGTTATACACGTGTACATTATAAACGTATTTCTGTACATTAAAGTAGAAATAATATTGCAATTTTGTAAAAAATAAATGAATGATATCGTACGGCAATAGGGTTATGCATGCTATTATGTAATAAACAATCTGGAATTTTCCGTAGAAAATGTATCCCAGTATATATATAAAAATGCATTCCATAATTTGTAGTCCTTTGTCCAATCCACTGCTGGATGCATGTATGTTCAACTTCTTTCGCACCATACGTAGCCAACCATACTAATCGGAGGACTTCCCATGCCATTTTGTCCTGAGACCTGTTTTGACCGTACAGCACTTGGCCATGCTGGTCAGTGTCGGGTGGTGAAGTGGGAGCGCAGAACCAGTTCGTATATCCCTCACCACCAATGTTAACCGTGACCAGGTGTTGAATTCAGATCACAGGGTTTGTAGCGTGCTGTGCCACTGTCCCCTCCCCCCCATGCTATATATGAAAATTGCACATTCATCACTTATGCTGCAGACTCCCAGCGTCATATCTTAAACCATGGACGCATTTACATTAACGTATGCAAAATTTTTGTAACACGGCAATCCCATCTTTGCAACATACATATGCATAGGGGGTGTAACACGTATTCACCTAATATATACCGTCGGTTGCCAGGTTACTGCAGGTTACCATAAGTGCACAGAAGGTGGTTTGAGAATGTGTGCTGACTAAAGATGGTGTGCTGGTTGTTTACACCAGTCAATACTATGCCACATGAGCAGATGCTATGCAGCCTCCTGAAACATTCATTTTCACCTCATTAGGCATTGACATTTTGCACAAAGCTTGCATCAGGCTCATTGTTGCACCCGTGCTTATGTCGCAAATGGAGGTGCACGATTTGGATCCGAATGACATTGAATCGTGATCAAAAATACACTATCAAGCAGACCAAATTCAATCCACGTTTTCTTAGATGCAACACGCTTAGATAGCAAAATATTGCATGCCAAAATGCTTCAGTAGGTACTATCAACAGTAGGTAGATGCAAAAGTCATAGTACTAGGTAGGCTCTCGTGATTGTGCTGCTGGAGAAGCCCCCAACCAATTGTGGAGTGAAACCGTGGACATTATGCTGAATGACATAACGCAGTGCATGATTTGTTTATCATAATTTAATTTAAAATGAATATATATAGAATACATTTGGAGACACTTTGTGAATATTTCAATAGAAAAAGGTTGACTGCCCATCACATATGTAGTTGTATTGTACATTTCCTGTTAAGACACATTCTACTTCGACACTGGTTTGTTAATATGCCATAGCATTGGTTTGAGATATAGGATTTTTTTGCTGATTCTGCGACTAAAATGTTCCTGACATGTACTGTGATGGTTGAAGGAGAGAGTGGTTACCATAAAAAGAAACACGTTAAATATATTAAATATTTTTGGGGTAGGAACCTTCTAAAGTCAAAAGTAAGATGTTTCAGCCTCCTGCATACAGGCATGGTTTAAGCACAGGTAACACGTTAACTTAGGGTATTACATTCCAAATGTATTCTGTTATTGTTATTTGCAATACCTGTATACTGACTTTTTTTTGTTCTACATGTCGACGAAGACTACAGTTTGGTTACATGCTGCAAGTAAACCTTTGGTCTTGAGCATGAAGAATGGTCGTGAAGATGAATTAATACACATCTCGTTCCAGGTGGAGTGGATGAAAGACAAGGAACTCATCGACCCGGAGGAGGACTCAAACTTCTACATCACGGTGGACCACAACCTGATCATTAAGCAGGCACGACTGTCGGACAGCGCCAACTACACGTGCGTGGCAAAGAACCTCGTGGCCAAGCGCCGGAGCTCCACCGCCACTGTCACCGTGTATGGTGAGTGGTGGTGCAACAACAACAACAACGACAACAACCGCTGTTCACCACTAAGTGGCGGTGACATCACCATGGTGCTTGTGCCACGCTAGGCGCAACACCGTGCAAATACATGCACTCGCACACACACACACACTCCTGTCTAGCCTTACGGAACTGCTCGGGCAAGTGCTTTTAGTGAGCAATTATTAAGGCTGGCATGGTACAAGGGAGGGGGGGGGGGGGTAATGAGGCCAGTTCAGTTCACACCCTGATACTTTTGTCTCCCCTTTGTCACCATGTAGTGTACTTATTTTAGGTTCAGTAGATCAGGTGAGGGGTGGTGGCGGGGGGGGGGGGGTCTCTGAGTCACATTCAGACACCAATTGTTATTGTCGGTCTTTTGCATGGCTAGAAAATGTACCCAGGTTACCAGAGTTGTATATTTACGTGTGTGAATCAGTACAGCAGCAGCATTCCCCATAAATGCAGACGCAAGCAATGGCGGAGCCAAGATTTTCAGATGGGGGGTCAACCCCTTCCCTTGAAAAATGATAGTTGTTAGTAAGTAAGGACTTTTCCCTATTTCTATATCTTGTTACTGGCAAAGGAGGTCTCATAATGTAAATGCTCACCCTGAGCCCTCAATACTCTTTTGGCGTCTTCTGGTCCAACACCAGTGGAGACTAGGCTCTAAGAAAAGCTGTCTCGGGTGTGGACCAATCAAATTCAAGGACAGTGCATATTATTATCAGAGTTGTCTCTTTTGTTTGCATTTTGACTGCTTGTGTTGTGGTTATTGCAAACATGATGCCTTGAATAAAGGTGTCAGTTTTTGTGCCAGTTAAAAGGGTAAAACCTATTTCTATATCTATGACTTGTCCCTTGCTTTTTATTCGACGCGTGTGCGGCGATGGCACAGCCATCGATCGAGGGTCGAATTCGAACCGCGTTGTGTGATCGGCATCGCACTCGCTGAAGGTGTTGATGCCTTCAGGGAAGTCGTGTACTGTATACGCAACTTGTCACAATTCTGAGTCACTTATAACTGCTTTGCCGTTACTTATTGCCAATTATGGACTCAGACTATTGTCCTATCATCTCACAGAGTCCCTGGCACGTAATAATATGCTACACAGTGGCAGTGGGGGTCGCAAAATGCCGATTTATCTCCATATATATAAAAGGCAAAGTTGTGAATGTGTGTCTGTCCAAAATGCTTAGCGTACTTCCCGACATGCAACAAACTTTAAATTTGCCATGTGGGTACTTTCCAGACTGTACACCATGCAAAAATAATAAAAATACACTTTTTTTTGGGGGGGGGGGGAGCTCAATAATGCATATATTTTTTGCACAGCGAGCTGTGACGTCAAATCTGTCACGTGACCCGCACATGTGGAAGCGTAACGCATTGTAGTGTATTGATTAGCGCGCTGCGAACCTGACGACCCGAGTTCTATTCCCGCTCACGGCCACCACCGGTGACGATTATCTCAACCGGTCCTGGGCCTCCAAGTCCCGGGCGAAGCCGGGTATTAAAGCTAGTTACTAATAAACCCCAATGATCCAATCGAAATCCCTAATTTCGATTGGGGGGGCACATGTCACCCCCCCCCCATTGACTTCACCAGTGGATGCAAGTACACACTGACACAAACAAGGAGGTATAAATAAACAGACTTATGTACACACAAGTACAAAGATGATCAAATATAAAAAGATAAAGATCCCAAATGCATATACAAATGTCTGATTTATGTCAGCAAACACCTTTTTTACAACCGGTAGAGCAGTCGTTTGTCTCGTCAACGTCTTTAACCCAGTCCTTGTGCTGACGCAGCATGCCTTGTTTTGTTTTTAGGCTCAGCCAAGTGCAAACCCACACTCAGTTCAGCTACACATTTGTACTGTTTCACATAGCAAGGTACACTCCTACCATATTCAGTTCAATAACGACGTTCTACATTTTGTTACCTCTCACGCTGGAACAAAACCAAAGATCCCCCATATAGCCTTCAACAAACTGTTAGCACAAGTTCCATTAGTGGGATATTATTTAGGCCAGGATGGCATGTCGACCACCACACTTAGCCACTTTTGCCTCCTCTGCGCCGATGCTTACACACTGTCATTTAAGGCTGAGTCTACCTAAGGGTAGCTTAGGACTGGCTCAGATATCACTTGCCACTTACGTTAGCTATGGGTGAGAATTGAACTTGGGTTGCTAAGTTGGAAGCACAGTGGGTTTAACTACTGCGCCACCACTCCCCATACAAAGTGAAATGCACATTGAGATTGTCTACCTGATTTACCAGGTAGACAATCTCCAAGGAATGTATTTAATTAGAATTCCAAATAAAATAACTGTACATTCATATGTAAATTTCGTACTTCACGTTATAACCATGTGCTTGTTGATAGATGTAGCCAAAGGAAATGTGGTGGCTCCTGGACACAGGAGACTGATAATGACTTATCTCGGAGATTACTGTATTTAGGAAATGAATATACTCTAATATCCTTCAGGATTTTTATGTATTTAGAGGCCATCACTGCACAATCAGATGGTAAATCACAACTGAATTGAAATCAGAATACCAAATTGGAATTTGATTTAGAATTGTATTGCCTTGAGTAGCAAATTCTGTATTGGGTATGCAAGTGTGTTCTCTTGTACTTGGCTATACATGTTACATTCTGAATCTGATGTTCAATGCATTGGCTGTACTGGGAATATATATATGAAGCTCTGGGTTTGAGAGTTGGATGGACAAGTAATCACGGCAGACAGATTGTAAAGAGCAGATATGCAGGCATTTGGATTAGTACTTGCCGAAAACAGATAGAAGCAGTGGCAGGGTGGAATTTTGAATGACACAAGATGTTTGGAAATGGAAAGGATCGCAGAAGCAGTTGGACACACGATGGTAAGGTGTCCCAGGCGGTGTTGACAAAACACTTCCAAAACGAGTCATGAGAGGAATGATAGATCAAGGTAAGTTTAAAACGTAGGCTTTCGCGACCAATATCATCCATAATAGAGGTTCTGGGGTTAGATCGCCTAAATATATAAATGTGTCGTTCAAACCCGCCACCACCCGACACAGCCAACTACTAAGCGTTGTCACATAAACAGAACATGCCAATTTGGCATGTCGGGTGGTGGAGGGTTTTAACCACACATTTATATATTTACACGATCGAACCCAAAAACCTCTATTATATAGGGTGTTTTAAAAACATGGACCCGATTTGAAATCGCTATATCTCTGCAACCAGGAACCGCCCATGAATGAAACTCTTACCACTTGAAAGGACGGGGCATAGAGTTTTAAATGATGACTGCGAGATGCCTCTCCCAGCGCACAAACAGCCCCTCGCCTCAGTCATTCGCAAGATGGTGACCCCGCAACACAAGGGGCGTTTTGCATTCTGCAGTTCAGCAAGACTGAATCCGTAATTGTGGTGCAGCGTGCATTTCAACAGCGTTTTGGCATTGATCCGCCAATGTCAAAGAGCATTCGTCATTGGTACCGACAATTTGAGGAAACGTAGATCAAGAGAAGAGAAAAATACATCTCGATATGGTTGATAAGATAGAGGCACGTAAACATATAAGGTTGATGTTTACTTTTCAATCTATGGAAATGGTCAATAGTATTCAATGTTAATGATATAAATGTTTGCAGAAAAAAAAGGAAAGGATTAGACTTTGCAATGGTGCATTTGGTAGTTATTTGCCCACAGAGCATGTAAAGGGTTAATGCTAACTATTCCATATTGCAATATATTTTGAGCATTATGTATATATATCAGTTTGCATATATTGTGCATTGTTCTATTTACGTCAATCTACATATCAGCGTTGTGCCATTTGTTAACGGGATTGTTGGATTACAGGAATGGAATTGTTGGGGAGGTAGGGGGCGCTTTACTGAGCCAGGCATGGCATTCATGGGGGGCTCTGTGGCCAGGTCGGCCAAATTTAATCTCTAATGATAAGCAGGTTAATGCCTGGTTTATACAAGGGAGCTGGAATCAAAGTTGGAATCAAATTTGATTCCAGCCATCTGTTGTAACCAAAATAACCAATGCTGCATATAAAATAGACATTGGCTATTATGCCAGCCAGGCTTCTTTTGCCTCCCAAGTCGCCTTAACGCCATTCCAGAACTGTGGAGGATTCAGGCCAATTCTCCATGCTGGGCATCGACATTGAAATTCAATTATGATTTTAGCAGACTGGAATTAACCAGAATTGGCATTCTGGCCAACTGGAATCAGCAATGCTTAGCTAGGCGTAGCTGAATTTTAAGTGAGCATAGATTAATGTTAGCTAAACTAGATTTGCAATAAAATCGCAAAAGAGTACAATTATATTGCACGAATCTTCCAAATTCCCATTCAAATGACTGGAAATTCTACCATGGGAATAAACCATATGAAAATCACAGTTCCTGCAGGAATTGTCCAGGGTGAAATTGTAGGAATTTAATTAGATTCATGCAGGAATCGCTCACCTCTATTATTGCACATTGATACACACCATATGTGCTACATACACACAGTACCATGTGAAACCTTATATTTGGTTGAATTTAGAAAGCGTGCTTCTTAAGATGCATGAGTGGTTGCTCTTTTTATTGTTTACCACTAAAGTGTGTTTTTTGCACGTTTAAACCTTGCCCTAACAAAAACATGCTTGCAAACTTTGGCTGATACGAAGGTGACTACTTTGTTAATATTCCACCTTCAATGGCCTGTGAATCTCTTGCCCTCTGTTTGCACACGTATCAAAATTTTTACTGCCCTTTAACTTGTTGTATATATGCCTGAATAATGTGCATGTAAAAATAACAAAGAAATATGTGTTTTAAATTTAGTTGATCAGTGTGATAATTATATTGTAGTACATTCAGTGCAAAGTAAAAATGTTTTGATTAGATTGTATATATATATCAATTTATACAGGAAAAATAACCTTAATCATGACAGTTTTGATTTTAAAGTTCTGTCCATTTCTATGAACGATGTCTCAAAAAATGCACTGCTAATGCTAGGCGTGATACTACTTAGCAAAGTGAAGCATGACTTTTCTATTTTTACCACGGCATGTTTATTTATATTTTGGTAAGTATACGTTCATGTTTTTTTAAAATTCATTATGTGAGTATTTGGGCCACTTTGTGGAGTTCCATTTATGAATAGCTACGGCAATTATTGTGCGGACGATGGCACTTAAAACAGAGAGGGTTGAACGTGTTGGTGGTCAATTTACAAAAAAATCATGACTCTTGGTAACCTAATGCAATCGTTTTACTATTATCACAGTATGTGTTATAGTTAATGGATAGAAAACTAGATTCACAAATGCAATTGTGAAGCGGTATGGAGACATAACCTTAATGTTATACTCAAGGCCCCAGGGATCTTAACAATGCATAATAGTAAGTGAAGTTGATGTTAATTACTTGTGTATGTAAACTGCAGGTTTACACCCAAACGGGTTGTTTATTTTCACGATAGTATGGTTATGATTGTATACAGTGATTAAATACATTCTACTTTTTATATCATAGCCATCATACATCAAGACACTTATTGGATATGAACAGGCCCAATATATATAAAAAATATTAGTTGCATATGGAAATACATTGTGGAAAGGCTGATGTGTTAGTTGTGTCTTCCAACCTGTCTGATCAGACCGATAAGATAGGGTAGGCAAATGTATCTGATGAGTGCACTGTGCAAGGCATGTCTACTTTTCATGCAAGTAAATAAATACAAAATAGACAAAGATCCCCCATATTGTCTGTGTCAGTATGTTTGTGCAGGTGCTGTTAGTGAGCATCTATTAAGGCCGACACAGTACACAAGGTGGTGTAGCCATCAACACATCCGATCACCTTTGTCTGCCCAGTTCTCATGTTTTGCACATTACAGCAGGTGCTCATTAAAGTTAAGGCGACCTGGGAAAGGTTGCGGCTAGGAGATGAACTCCAGTTACAGGGTCTGCAGCGCAGTGCACCAATCTGCATGCCATCGCTCCCCACATGGAACAAAAAATACAGGCGCACACATTGCATCAGTCTAATGAGAGAACATGTTGCAGACTTGATGAAAAAACTATTCTAAAAATTGTGACTCTCATGGCTCTGACTTTAATAATTTAAATGCAATGTAATGGCGTGTTTTTGGCTTTTAAAATGGAAATGCATCAATTGAAACTACTCGACAAAGCATTGCATTGCTGTTTTTTTATTAAGCACATTGAGCTAGCATTTAGGTTAAGCATGTCAATGCCACACGGCAATTCCATGAATGATTGTCAAATTGAAATGAATAGATAATTTATGCAATACCCACATATTTTGATTTCATGAACGATTCCATAATGCATCGTGCACATTTGATATTTACTTCACAGATGGCTTTATTTATTAGTTCCTGAAAATTCTCGGAGGTGTAAGCAACCACCTTAATATATAACCATTTGCAGTGTATAGACATTCAGGAATAATACTGTTATTATAAATATTATATTAGTTAACTGCAAATATTATTGGCACGGTACATGTATATGGAAGGCCCTATATGTGTAGTGGTGCACTGGTTCACACACTGCATTATGAACCTGGCAATCCGAGTTTTATCCCCAACCTCAGTGACATGGAATATTTAAACTGATCCTCGACCAACCTGCACTGACCAGCGTGGTGAAGTATGGACACATAACCCCCATTACCAATACGGTGTAGAGCAAACGTTCCATGTTATTGAAGTTATTATCTACCAAAAACATGTTATTGAAGTTAATATCTACCAAAAACAAATGGCAATCATTAGAAATGCTAATTTTAGCATGGCTGAACTGGTGAATGGATATACTGTAATGGACAATATTTACTTGTTCTAAACAGTGAGCCTATACACGAGTACATTTGATACACTTATAAGCAGTACTCTGCAATTTGTTTAACCATACTATATAGTATTTCGAATTTTAACTATGACAGATATGGTTAAGGATATAATATCTGGCATATAGAAATGTACTATGAATGTTTACATGATGACTTGGCTCTTGTAGACAGAGTATTTGAACCTAATGCCAAATACTTTTTTTTACGTAATAAAATAATTTGGAACAGTCTCCAACAAGGTGTAATTAATTTAATTAAATTTGCTAATGTAATTGTCCACTTGCAAAGTAAATGTATTATACTCTTTGGTTTTATTCGGTAAAGTCACGTAGGTAAAATAAAATAAAAGAAAACAATTAAATCACGACGTTTCGGAGGCAACACAAGCTTCCGTCTTCAGGTGGAATAGTCACAGCAGAAAATCTGTGTTAAGTACACAGCTCTGAGACGATCGGGTTTATATATAGGTTAAGGGGGGGGGGAGGAGTCAGAAAGGGGCGTGGGTGGGTGGGAGGGCTGAGTCAAGCCGCCTTTTGTTAAGCTGCAGGGGGGTCGGGAAGAGGCTGTGGTGCCAACAAATGCGGGTAAAACCCCTTTTTGTTGTGCTGACGGGGGGTTGGGGGGGAGGCGATGGCGGGCGAGTAAGCCCCATTTTTGAAAACGAAAAGATCTCAAGTTTGGCATGCCACCACTGAAAATTGTTGTGCAATTAAAAGGCAGCTAATGTTTGACTTGATTTATAACATCTTTCCAATGGTTGCTTTATTTGAAACCATCCTCTTGGTTGAAGTTGTGTCTGTGTTTGTATATCTGGATGGCCTCGTGGACAAATCTCTGATAATAACCGGTAGGTTTGCAGAGTACCTTGGTATTGGAGAAAACATTATCATGATAACCCACAGCGTTGTAACAGTGATCAGTCACGGCAGAATAATTTGTTCTGCCGTGTTTCAAATCTGATTTGTGCTCGCAAATTCGGTCAGAGATATGTCGCTTCGTCTCCCCGACATAGCAGTCACCACAGGTACAACTCAATTTGTAAACACCGGGGTACTGTAAGTCAGGAATGACATCCTTTACGGATGGGATCAGATCACGGATTTTGTGTACTGTGTTGAACCGGACCTGGATCTTGTGTTTGTTTAGAATTTTGGAAATATTTTTTAGTAACGCCTGCTATGTATGGTAACGTGATGATTTTGATCGGAGTGTCAAGTGGTTGTTTCTGTATGGTGGGGGAAACAGCTTGGCGGATGGTACGGTCAGAGTAACCGTTCATCTTGAGGGCCGGATGTACATGTTTTAATTCACTGGTCAGGTGGTGTTGGTCAGAAATGCAATGAGCCCTGTGGTATAACGTTTTGATGAGAGAATTCTTCTGAGTAGGGTGGTGGTGGGAATCAGGTTTCAAGTAGGAGTCTGTGTGGGTGGGCTTCCTGTAAACAGAATGTCCCAAAGAGCCATCAGACCTTCTCTCAAACAGAACATCCAAGAATGGCAGCTTGCCATCTTTCTCCACTTCCATGGTGAATTTGATAGAGGGTGTCTGGAATTGATGTGGTCTAGGAAAAGGTTCAAAGCTGGGAGGCCATGTGGCCTCCCGATACCAAGGTACTCTGCAAACCTACCGGTTATTATCAGAGATTTGTCCACGAGGCCATCCAGATATACAAACACAGACACAACTTCAACCGAGAGGATGATTTCAAATAAAGCAACCATTGGAAAGATGTTATAAATCAAGTCAAACGTTTGCTGCCTTTTAATTGCACACCAATTTTCAGTGGTGGTATGCCAAACTTGAGATCTTTTCGTTTTTTAAAATGGGGCTTACTCGCCTGCCATCGCCTCCCCCCCAACCCCCCGTCAGCACAACAAAAAGGGGTTTTACCCGCATTTGTTGGCACCACAGCCTCTTCCCGACCCCCCTGCAGCTTAACAAAAGGCGGCTTGACTCAGCCCTCCCACCCACCCACGCCCCTTTCTGACTCCTCCCCCCCCCTTAACCTAAATATAAACCCTATCGTCTCAGAGCTGTGTACTTAACACAGATTTTCTGCTGTGACTATTCCACCTGAAGACGGAAGCTTGTGTTGCCTCCGAAACGTCGTGATTTAATCGTTTTATTTGATTTTATTTCATTCTACCTACGTGAATTTACCGAATAAAACCAAAGAGTATGAATCCTTTGCAGTCACGAAAGCTTCAAATCTAGAATTAAATGTATTATTTTGGCCACACCTGAAAAAGGTCTTGCAATATTAAGTTGGAGCTTGTTATATCTGCTAATGAACCTGAGTTTGGTTGCTCTTCCAATATTGTCTTTAAATATTACTTTTACTTACCGTTATCTGTTTTCGGTGTTCTTGCTCTAGCCTTCAAAAAGCACACACATGCACTGCAATATTTGTAAATTCATGTATAAATAAAATAACAATTGTGACTTTATATTCTTTGTTCTTTCGGTAAAGTCACGTAGAAGGGAAACAATAAAATAATAAAAATAGAAAACAATATTTTATTGTTTCCCTTCTACGTGACTTTACCGAAAGAACCAATAATATGAATCCCTTCAGTCACGAAAGCTTTAAATCAAAATTGTGACTTTTATTAGGTACTTCACGTTGCATGTGTTAATTAATTGGCATATGGAAAAGGACAGCTAATTTTACGGTCATGATAATTGTGTCCTAGTATCACTGTGTTGTCATTTAATTTTTTATTGAACTATATCAGTTTATTTTAGTTAAATTTTCATGCCCTGGGATAATGGTTACCACACCACACTTGCAATCCACAGGCTGCCGAATGAATTTGATCTCCCAGTGGTGGCAGAAACAATCTCCTTGGCTCTATCCATCCAGCAGCTCAAACGGGTACACCACAGTTAATTGGCAAGTTGCATGTGGTGGGGTAAAGTGCGGATACTCCCATCTGTCCAATATGTCTGGCTAGCATTGAAGAGCAGATCACATAGCGTAGAGGGGCTGTCTTGAGCTCCGCCTAATGGAGTAATGGGAGGCTGCATCTATTCTGCAATCTTTACCTTAAGTTGAATATGGCTTCTCTCTGCAGTGAATGGGGGGTGGTCCCTGTGGACAGAGTGGTCGCCCTGTAACAGCAAGTGTGGCCGTGGCACCCAGAAGAGAACCAGGAGCTGCACCAACCCAGCCCCTCTCAACGGAGGGGCTGTGTGCAATGGGCAGGGTACTCAAAAGATCCCCTGCTCCACCATTTGTCCAGGTATACTTTCATGGTTTTTGTGATGATATCATTCTGGCCTGACACGGCTGGGTGGCAGTGTGGTTTAGAGTACCTAACTTACAATCATAAACATATGAGTTTAAATCCCATCGATTCAGCCTATCATTTGAAGGAAAGATATAGCCATGGCAATTATAGATCATTTAGCCTCTGCCATTGAAATGTTGAATTTCCTCCACTGCTTCAGAGCCATCAACTGAGATACCTGCTATCTAATTGCTCATTTTTAAATAAATAGACTGGTTTGTTTTGATTTTTGTATGCATACACAGCAACAATCCTGACAGCACACATAATGCATTGCAAATGAAATGGAGAAAACAACACTGAGTGTAAAAGCAGGTTATGGCAAATTCCCATAACCTCTTCATGGCCCAAGTACCAATAGGTTCAAGGGAAGATTTGGTGAGTTTGATATACTGAAATGGGTAATCAGCTTCAAAGTGAATTCAACCAGCTTTTGGAAGTTCCATAACTAAAGAATTCTACTGGGATTGTTAACCACCATGCGGAATTGCTACTGTGAATTGAATTCTCTCATCTGAATTCACAATTTTTCTCCAATATATTTAATGATAGGAATTTATGATGCTAATTGAAATGCTGTTTTGAATCAGAGGTTAATTCATTTCTAGAAATTATTATACTAATTTACATACTTTTCGTAAATTATTTCTGAAAAGGTTGTCATGGTCATGGTGATTTTGAGATATTCAATTTTCTGTGGGTTTGTGTTAAGAGCGGTAGTGTCATGGTTAGCAACATAAGTTCGATTTCCTCTCACAACCAACACGAGCGATGATTATCTGAACCGGTCCTGGGCCTCCCCTATACCGACTCAGCCTCAAATAAGTACATGGTGTAAACATCACCACTAGGGAGACAAAGGCTGTCAGGAGTGATGCTGGCCACCCACACCCTCGTGTGCTGTGCTGGCCTTCATAGGTGCTCGCTTACAGCACTTGCCCCAACAGTCTGCATTGGCTATGAGGGGATCTGTGTATAATATGACTTGCACAGACATGTATATTTTATGAGATGCAAAATGTAAATTTTAAGTAAATGTTCTGTGAACTTTCAAGATTAACATTACAGTGATTATTATGACAATATATAACTTTTGAAGCTGGGTTCTCTCCGTTTACATATTGCCGATGTTGGCGCAGTGATCCCGTGCTGTATAGGAAATTGATTTTCCTCTTTGCACTCATAACGCCATTCTGTGCTGTGTTCCGCGTGCCGTGTCGTCGTCCGATATGCCGTGCTGCGTGCCGTGGCAGTGGATGGCGGCTGGGTGGAGTGGAGCAAGTGGTCGACCTGTGGTCCCGACTGCACCCACTGGAGGAGCCGGGAGTGCTCCAACCCGGCCCCCGTCAACGGAGGCAAGGATTGCCACGGCTCTCCACTGCAGTCCCAGAACTGCTCCGACGCGCTCTGCATACAAAGTGAGAAAATCATATTAATACATTTTTGCAATAATCAAAGTTGCACGTGCATTTGCAACTCTTGTTTTTTATATGTATGGGGAACACTATTTACAAATGGCAGACTCTGCCATGCTGTAATGGCTGTGACGCTGGACTTTGCAATTAACGGGTCAACGCTTCAGTCTTCTGGCACGGCAGTTGCGAGAATGGTCAAGTTTCTTAAATCCCCTCCTCTTTCCAACCCAGCAGTATACATGTGTACAACACAGTTAGTCGATCAGCAGCTTGTGTATTAGGGTAAAAAAATGAGTACTCCTATATTTTGTTAAACGTCTGGTCAGTGTGGAAGATGAGACCAAATACAAAATACCTTCGAGGGGGGCTCTCGAGAGCCTTCTAGAGAGGGGGGCTCTCGAGAGCTCTCTAGAGCCCCCCTCTAGTCGAGGCCCTTCTGACAGCAGTGGTGCGAGTGAACAATTGCTGGGCTCTGTACATTTACCTTTCATTTATAAATAAGCAGTCCTGCATTATATCCGTTTTTAATTAATCGTGACATAACAAACCAAATCAATAAAATGTTGTCAATAATGAAAACAGTTTTTAATGCATTCACCGAAAATAGATCAAATCTTACCATAATTTATATTGCCAATTAGAGCCAAGTGCATATAAAATAAAATAGCTGTGAACTGCAATTAAGCATGATTATGTGAGTATCCTGATTACACAAGGGGGGAGCCAAAATAGTTGTATGCATTAAATTGTATTGCATGCATTTATTAGTCTAGAGAGTGTATTACCTCTGATTGTGGGGTGCTGAGAAATCTACTGCTAAATGTTCTCATGTATTAAATCGTCCATCTGACCCGCAGTTATCTTTACGCACCACACTTTAAGCAGATGCTAATATTCCCACTCTTGATCGTCTATGCAATCACACCCATGTTATCAGCTCAACTTCGGCAGCATATGAGATTGATAGAATGACAATGGATTCTGCATTAATCATTGAAATCTATAGAAATGCGAAATGCTCTTGAGGTGTTCATATAGGAGCATCCGTACAGCTCACCCACGATCCGGCATGCGTACGTTCCAGCAGAGCAAATTAAAAATTTTCACCGGTAATGCTTTGTAACATTTTCATTTAAATAAAAAAGTGCAAAGAACATAATTTTATAAACACATTCTGTTGAACATTGATTGTATATTTTTACATGGGCAAAAATTGTTTGCCAGTATAATGCATGATTTATCAGGCAACCTCATGAGGTTTTTTTTTTATATATATCCGTCACGGTTGCGTAATGGTATATTTAAAATTATCCATCAAGCATTCAGTAGATTGATGTTTACATAAACACATTTAGAATTATTAATTTGATGGCTAACATGATGAGTGCAGCATAATACAAATTTGCCTGTGTTTGATATTCACACCTTCATGAAATATGTTTCTATCATTAGCACAGTAGAGGATATTTTTCAGAAGAAGTTCACACGACTGAGCATTTTATTCATAATTATGAGAAAATGATTCCTGTTATATGTTAATGCACTAAACTCCACAGGGTTTCCAGAGTTAATGCACTAAAATCACAGGTGACATTTAAAAAATAACATGACAAAACTAATCAAAAGTGTATTGTTTTTGTTTTGCAAATAATCCAATGACAATGAAGCATTATGTAATGTGGGGGTGACATAGTGAAACTTGTCCTGGGCTTCCATTAAAGTCTGTTCTTTAGTTTGAGTTCAATATTTGAAGAGGCAGCAGTATCTTTCCTAAAATACTTGCTTAGTGCTACTCGATATAAATTGAATACAATAGTCCAGGTATCTTATATTATTGGTCAATCAACATCATGTGTGTTGGGTCAAGAGAATATGCACTCAGCATCACTTTGTTCCTCTATCCACTGAAGCACTGAAGCATTCATGAAAAAGCTCAGCCTCTATAAACTAGAACGCATTGTATGGCACATTCTATGAGAAAAGTGTTTTATCAAAGACTTAGCTGCACTATGTGTCAATAATACGAACAATAATGCGTAATATTATATTCTTGGTTCTTTCGGTAAAGTCACGTACAGTGAGGGAAAAAAGTATTTGATCCCCTGCTGATTTTGTACGTTTGCCCAATGACAAAGAAATGATCAGTCTATAATTTTAATGGTAGGTTTTTTTGAACAGTGAGAGACAGAATAACAACAAAAAAATCCAGAAAAACGCATGTCAGAAATGTTATAAATTGATTTGCATTTTAATGAGGGAAATAAGTATTTGACCCCTCTGCAAAACATGACTTAGTACTTGGTGGCAAAACCCTTGTTGGCAATCACAGAGGTCAGACGTTTCTTGCAGTTGGCCACAAGGTTTGCACACATCTGAAGATGGATTTTGTCCCACTCCTCTTTGGAGATCTCCTCCAAGTCATTAAGGTTTCGAGGCTGACGTTTGGCAACTCGAACCTTCAGCTCCCTCCACAGATTTTCTATGGGATTAAGGTCTGGAGACTGGCTAGGCCACTCCAGGACTTTAATGTGCTTCTGCTTGAGCCACTCCTTTGTTGCCTTGGCCGTGTGTTTTGGGTCATTGTCATGCTGGAATACCCATCCACGACCCATTTCCAATGCCCTGGCTGAGGGAAGGAGGTTCTCACCCAAGATTTGACGGTACATGGCCCCGTCCATCGTCCCTTTGATGCGGTGAAGTTGTCCTGTCCCCTTAGCAGAAAAACACCCTCAAAGCATAATGTTTCCACTTCCATGTTTGACGGTGGGGATGGTGTTCTTGGGGTCATAGGCAGCATTCCTCCTCCTCCAAACACGGCGAGTTGAGTTGATGCCAAAGAGCTTCATTTTGGTCTCATCTGACCACAACACTTTCAGCCAGTTGTCCTCTGAATCATTCAGATGTTCATTGGCAAACTTCAGACTGGCATGTATATGTGCTTTCTTGAGCAGGGGGACCTTGTGGGCGCTGCAGGATTTCAGTCCTTCACGGCGTAGTGTGTTACCAATTGTTTTCTTGGTGACTATGGTCCCAGCTGCCTTGAGATCATTGACAAGATCCTCCGGTGTAGTTCTGGGCTGATTCCTCACCGTTCTCATGATCATTGCAACTCCACGAGGTGACATCTTGCATGCAGCCCCAGGCCGAGGGAGATTGACAGTTCTTTTGTGTTTCTTCCATTTGCGAATAATCGCACAAGCTGTTGTCACCTTCTCACCAAGCTGCTTGGCAATGGTCTTGTAAGCCCATTCCAGCCTTGTGTAGGTCTACAATTTTGTCCCTAACATCCTTGGAGAGCTCTTTGGTCTTGGCCATGGTGGAGAGTTTGGAATCTGATTTATTGATTGCTTCTGTGGACAGGTGTCTTTTATACAGGTAACGAGCTGAGATTAGGAGCACACTCTTAAAGGGAGTGCTCCTAATCTCAGCTTGTTACCTGTATAAAAGACACCTGGGAGCCAGAAATCTTTCTGATTGATAGGGGGTCAAATACTTATTTCCCTCATTAAAATGCAATTCAATTTATAACATTTTTGACATGCGTTTTTCTGGATTTTCTTGTTATTCTGTCTCTCACTGTTCAAATAAACCTACCATTAAAATATAGACTGATCATTTCTTTTGGTAGTGGGCAAACGTACAAAATCAGCAGGGGATGAAATACTTTTTCCCCTCACTGTGAGGGGAAACAATACAATAATACAAATATAAAACAATAAAAATCTCACGACATTTCGACTGCAACACAAGCAATCGTCATCAGGTGTGAAAACCACAGCAAGAAAATTTGAAAAAAAAGTGGCGGTTATTTTTAACGTTAGCACCACGGAGAGCGATTTGACAGTTTGTTCAGATGAACGAAAGAACCAAGAATATGAATCCCTGCAGTCACGAAAGCTTTAAATAAAAAAAATAATGCGTAAATAAGACCAGTGCAGAGGATAAATAATCGTAAATAATAATTATACTGCAATCATCATGAATATTGAATTATCATCATAATGTACTTTATCCAAGAAAGAGTTTCAAGACTATTGCCGAGGGGGGTCCTATATCCGGGATGTTTGGCCAATCCTTTTGGAGGGGTGGTTGGCATGTAGAATTAAACCACAATACCTTGAGAAAACCCATGCAACATGAGGAGATAACAATTACAGTTTTGGATTTATATTGCATCCACGTTTGACTTGCATCTCACGATGCTGTACAGAACTTGGGAGGAAAAAAAACCCCACGGAGAACATAAAACAAATAAAAAAATCTTCACCACTGTTCAACCAAGCCATGCTGGTGCCTCGCTGAGCCAGTCCGGCTCGGCTCATGAGGTGCCGGGGCTGTTTTTTCCCTGCCATCGCTGAGCTGTGCCGCTGGCATCACACGCAATGGCGCGAGATGGAATGTGGCCGATGTGGTGATGCTGTACTTCACAGCGTACTGTCTGACATCATAGGTAGAAAACCAGTCATTTACCCCACTGCTGGCCAGATTAGCACGGTTTGGTTCTGGCTTAGCATTTCCAGCATCTCCGATTAGCACAGTTGGCTACGTACAGTGTGAAAGAAGTTCAACATACATACATGCATAGCAAAGAGCCAATGGAAAACCGCTCTGCTGTGAAGCCCTGTTGTATACATGGATGTTGAACTTATTTTTTTCGCACTATGTGTTGTCAACCTTGATCATCAGAGGTGCGAGGGAAGAACAACAAACTAAACACAAACAACAGTTGTAAAGAAATGAATTTTCAATCATGATTGAAGCACGGCTGAGATGAGATGGTGTGAAATGGATGGAGTCATGGTGGCCCTGTGAAAGTCTCTGTACCACCAGCAGTCATGTCAGGCTCTCAAAGTTCCGCACCGGTTCAGAATACCTCACTTGTGTATTGTGCAGTATTCCTTAAGGACCCTGCATTCGTTCTCTGCAATATTGATGTCCTTGTCTTTGTTTTGCTGTTGCTGTGCTTACACATAACGGATCATCCTTGTAGAATAGCTTGGAAACTGGATAATCTGGAACATCATCCGTGCAACAAATCAAATAAACTTAAACTTAAAAAGTCTGCATGATCCTTCGATCCTTGAGTCCAAATCCCTGGATTGCAAGCATGTAACACACCTTAGTGAAAATTAGAATGTAAAATTTATTTAGTGGAAGCTGTTAAAAAAATCCATGAAAATTTGTTTTATCTTTGTTACACTGCTATGTCAATTAAGCCATGAAATTAAGTGTTTCCACTTTAGGATTAGCAGAGTGGTGGCCACAGTAGAGATCGTTAAACACAACAATGTAGGTTTCTAACAAGGATTAGAATGCAAGTTCCAGTTGATGTAATGGCCTTCGTGATAATTACGTAAGTGCTATAGCAATTGTCCTCATTCCTTAATGTGTAATTCTTCAATCCTCAATTGTCCATCTTTTCACATCCACTACCGTAACTGGCTTTAAAGTAAAGAGGTCATCTATTTAAGCCACCACAACCCACTAATGTTTCCTTTTGAATTATTTTCAAATTGCAATTGTGATCCAGGGCTATATTCCGTAATTCAATCGCAATATGAAGCTGTTTGCAAGCATTGTACAACTCGTTAAAGGCAACTTTAATCTCGTGCTACATAAATGAGCATTGGTGACATGTTACGAATTGCATGTGCATAAGAAAAGTGTCAACTTTACACTAATATTGATCCATATGGGAATATCAGTTTCCTATACATGAATAACATTTGAATGCATAAATCATGCAACTCAGAATTTTATATGCAATTGAATTATCAATACTATCTGAAACGCACAAGTAAAGATTTTAAGTATAATGGTTTTTAAAAGAATACAAATTGTTATTCAAAGTAAAGTGGCACTGGTATAAAAATTGTGCAAAATAAAACAGTCTATTGTAGCTCGAGGCACGCGATTGAATGGCTTTATAATGGATGTCATTGCAACTGGTATAACATAAAATAATTGTTTACGTGTGCTTCACATGCAAGAATGAAAATATTTATGCTCATAACTTGACTTATTGATACCAATGGCTGCTTTTTGGATTCATTTAAGCATTGTAATGCTCAGTGTATAATAGTTGTTTCCACTGTGCATTAAAACGTATACCCTAGATTTCCAAATATTGTACTTTATGTGCAATATGATGGATGAACAAATGCATCAGTCGTGCAACGGTGATAAAGTCCGTAAATACGTGCAAGAGCATATCTTGTGGCCATCTTTGTGAATGTATTACATGCCGAAAAGCAAGACATTTTGCTGTACTAAGGTTAAACATTTTGACTGAAAGCTTTCATAAACATTTTGCCAACACAAGCCATAGGTTCTGAGAGCTGCAGTGGCATCTTCATGTCAAGCTACTTTGCCCCGTAACCACGATAGTATCGCACAATGTCACAAAATCCCCGGAGAAGTTGTCAACCCTCAGTAATAGTCACAAAGCATTTTTATGAAAGTACAGTGGCTTACTAATATTATTACTTGCCTCATTGTTTTATCTGTTTATTTATTGACTTGCCTGTTAATATGTCACCAGATCATTATGGTCTTTGTTGGGATAAAAAAAAATACCGTGTGCTTTGAGAGGTTTTTTTTTTGCCAAGTAGATAATGGATGAATTCGTTTGTTGTCAAGTATTTCTAGTTATATATCAGACAATTTTACAAAAATGGATTTTGATAGCAATGAAGAATGGTCTTCTCTTATAGACGTTAAAGTCAAATGTTTTTAATATCCTTGTTAGAGAATCCAGGGCTTGTTGGTAAATTGATTAAATAATTGACTAGCCCAGCTGGGAGCATGTTCACCACAAAATTGTATCTTATATGAGCAAATCTAACAATAATGTTGATTATGATTTGATTATGATATACGAATAGTATAATATAGTAATCTAAAAACAATATAGTGTTTATTGTTAACACTATTTAATGTATAAATACACCTGCCACATTATATATGTTTCATATGAATACTATATGTTTTCTATTCTACAAAAGAGTCTGCCTGCTTATCTGATGCTACCAAACACGTAATCGTCACTGAATGTGATGCTTTTACTTGCTTCCTTTATTAATTTATATTTGCCTGCGACAAACATTAATAAGTGGCATTGTTGGCCAAGAACAACTCGTCCGCTATATAGATTGTGGTCTAGTGGGAATTGGGTGTGCAGATGTCCCCACTCCCAGTTGGCAAAATGCCATCCTCCTCTTGATCCAGTCACCTCTCACTTCCACCTCTGCAGTCCAGCCTCATCCCTATAGATGTGTTAGGGTTGGCTGTTACTGCAATCGTTTTCACAGGAGAAAGAAACGTGCGTCATGACCACTGATAATCCAGCCCTGGCTTGCATACAGACAGCAGATTGCATAATCGTAGTTTCATAATTGCCCCTCTCACTTCCCCTCCACATCCTAAAATTAGGTCAACCTTTACAATTGCACACCCTTTCCTCTTGGTCCCAAGGGGATGTTTAGATGGACCACAAACTTGATGAATTTCCGGTAACAGGGTGTTGTTCATTTGGAGATAAGCAGGAGCTGAATATCATTATAATCTATAGGCCCTTCAGCATTTTCGGTATGGTAAGTTTTAGACATTAACATTGCAAAGCGTGTATTTTTTTTATTTGCTGCTTCCATGGATGACTTAATAGTATCTGACATTACTTATTTGGAAATATTTTCATGCTTGTTCCTGCACGTTTTTTTGCTGTTAACTGCAAACTAGACCCGCTGCGAACCAGCCGCAAACTCATTGTGCGCCACATATACACCACACTGCCCAGAACTCACACCTCCGATTAGCATGGTTGGCCACACAGGGTGCGAAAGAAGATCACCATATGTTGATACATACACAAATAAATGTGCTTTTCAAAATGTTCCGAGAAACGCTAAAACTTGACAAACTGAGAGTCGACTCGATCTCTCGTCAACACAAGTCCACTGCAGGGGTGAACCAAATGCTGTCTACCTCATTTCACAGCACTGTTTTCACAGTTCCCTTGTTAATATACACTTCTCCAGCCATACTAAATAAATAGGACAAATTACCCATTATTGCCTTATTGTTGTGTTATTGCCATTCCCTGGCGTGTATTGCATAGAGAGTGGAGTGTGCACTGGATTGTCATCGTTATTATGACCGTTTATTCCTTTTATATTCCCTGTGTGTTGCAGCTTCAGAGGCTGGAGATGAGGTTGCCTTGTATGCCGGTGTGGCTGTAGCCCTCGTGATATCTGTCGGGGTGGTGTTGGCTGCGTCCTTTGTTCTGTATCGACGACGTCGTCAGGAATATGGCTCTGACATAATCGACTCAGCCTCGGCCCTAACCGGTGGATTCCGTCCCGTCAATCAAAAAGCTGGCAGAAACGGTGAGCTTCTGTGCTGTGTTTTTTTTAACTTAAGATCTATTTCTTGTATTCCGTTGCTTTTTATTATTTGCTTTCATTTATGTTGTCTGATTAAAAAATGCTTAAACGCATTAATAGCTTTAGAAAATGTAAAAATAAAATTGTAACCAATATAAATCAACAAATAGTATGTTAATTCGTTTCATTATAACATTTTGTAAATAATAAATGGATCTTTCTTGCCTCTTAATTAATGTAGAAATGTAGTTTTCTGCTTCCTGATTTAATTAGCTACACCACAAAGTTAACAAGGCTTGATCAAATGAAAGTAATGCTCTTAATTATTTCATATCAAACTTCAATGGGTGCTGAAAAATAGCTAAAATTATTAATTGGTACAACTGATGAATCTTTTGCCAATTATTGTTGAAGCCACATTAAACCATTCTGGCCAAATAATTGCCTTGTAATTATTATAATTATTAAATATAATTATTGAATATTAAATAATTGCCTTGTAACTGCCTTGTAATTAAAGAATTGCCTTGTAATTATTTCACTGTACCAGCATTTTGCCATCTAATCTGTTGGAGGACTGATTGTACAATACAAGATAATGTTTTTGTTTACATTCTTCAAAGCAGATGATTCTAATTTACTGAGGACTGCCATACAGCCTGACCTCACAGCCTCGGTTGGGACGTTTCCTCAGCCCGTTTATCCTGTGCACAATGCCACCCAGAAAATCCAAATGACTCAGTCGCCATTACTGGAGCCATTGCCTGGCCACAAGATAAAGGTTTGCAGCTCCTCCATGCTCGCCTCCACTGACAACGAAGGCGATCAAAGTGTTGAACCATCACCAAAAAGGTCAGGATTACAAAAATGCTCTGCCACGCTGACAGGATTTGGCACGATGCAATCGCCGAGAAGAACGCACCTTCACGTTGACTTATCCAGCTTGGAGACTCACCATTCCACGAAGGGTTCGCTGGAAACGCAGGCCCCTGAAGCTGACTCTGGAAGCCTTACCGATTTCAGTACAAGTGCCTCTCCTAAAAGGACCTTCCGTCAAGGAGTAAGCTCCGAAGCGCATTTGGACAGCTTGTCTCGCATGCATGGAACAAGGCAACCCAACAAAATGATCCAACATCACACTTTGGATTTGGCACCAACAGAAACGTGTCTTGACAATAACGAGATGCACCAAGTTGGGTCGGACACGACTGTATTTGGGACATTCTGCTGTCTTGGTGGACGGCTGACCATCGCACACTCTGGTAAAGTACTTTTCTTTGATCATCTTTTGTTTATAAATAATCAACTGCATGTAGCTGCGGATTTACATATAAAAGTTGTGTCCCTTTAATTGATGTAGATCAAAAAAACTAATTATTGATGCACAGTACGTTTCACGTGGTTTTGTTTGAGAAAGGAATAAAGCAATGCATTAATGTTTGCGAATAATTCATTGACCAAATGAGATGTATCTTGTAATAGTTTCCACCTTTTTATTATTGCATTTAAGCCTTTATAATATTAGGTGAAACATAGGTATTTAGCTATTTTAAAGCATGGTCTAGTTTTCATATTCTATATTTCATATTCTGAGTTTTCCTTGTATGGATCTGTCCTTCAAACTTTTGAACTATGCTTGTCATTGATTCTGCGTATGTGTTCTTTTTCTCAGGAGTGAGTTTGTTAGTACCACCAGGGGCTATTCCACCAGGCCAGTTCTACCAGATGTACATCACCATCCACAGAGAAAAGGAGAAAAGGCAAGATGCCAATACTGACTTCTTTGTGCAGTGTTTCAAGAGCAATCCACTTAGCGTTGCTTTTAGTATCACATGCCTGAGAGATGTTCGAATGTCGAAACTGCATGTTCATATATTTATTTTCTAAAAATCTATACGTATACTTTTTTCTACTTAAAGCAAATATATTTACAAAATGTACATTTATATTTTTGACCTTCAAGAAAATTACGAGAAAAATATGCAAATGTCAATAATTAGAGAATTACAGAAATAGGTCATAGCTAAATAGTGGATGTTAGATTATATTTGTTTTAATCACCTGAAAATAGCATTTGAAAGCACAACTATTTAACCTTACAAAAAGCAAATACTTATATTATTTGTTTCAGTAAACAAAATGTACATATTTACGACTAAAACATGATTCTTTGTCCTTCATTTAGTTGCAGTAACAATTGACTTAATGAATGTAATAATTTGGTTTATTATAACTTATAAGTGACACAATGCAGATTATAATTCCTATGCATAAAATTACAATGCGTGATTTTGTTAAACATCCAGATGAAGAAAAAAAAACATTATCAGTGAAATAAAAACCAAGAAGCCTTTGGTAAATAAAGAAATGTGGTTTGATCCTCACCACTGATGGCACGAGAGGTCATGGTGAGATATGTTAGAAACTACAGTAACAGATCATGTTAAATCTTGACTTAAAGCTTTCGTGACTGCAGGAATTCATATTATTTGGGTCTTTCGGTAAATTTACGTAGATAGGTTCAAAGAAAAAAACAAAAAACTACAGTTTTCTTTGAACCTATCAAAAATAACAAAAAAACCTGCAGCTTAAATAACTGTAGTTTAAATAACAATAAACTGTAAATAGATAATGTTGGCAAGTTGTCTACGCAGCTGTGGCCTTTATCCAATTTAAACTGCCCACAGCTGGAGCCACTCTTGCCTTATCACAGTGCGTGAGATGTCTTGGCGAAATTCACAAAATTACGATTACGTGGCATGCCAAAGCACATATTGTTCACATTCAATAAAAATAGTTTCATAGTTTCATTTGATTTGGTATTGCCCTGTGAGCCATTCGGCTCTTGAATCGGGTGCAACCGCAACAAACAAAAAAACAAAAACATGAACAAGAAGACATCTTAAAGTGACTTTGTGCATGTGCAAACAGAAAATCCAGGAAAAAACATCAAAATAATAGATTGGATGCATGCCATAGTAAATGTAGCATCGACCATACCTAAGTCTAGTCAGTACCTGTAAATATTCTACTTGCTTTTAACAAAAAGTCTTCTTAACTGCCACACCCAGTTACGTTTGATAACTACTCACCAAAACTGATGTGACGTTTGGCTCAGGATATTTCGAATATTTTTTGTTGTCATTGTTTCACAGGCCACTTTTGTGTATATATATTTTTTTTAAATCCAGGAAATGTATATTATGTATTTGATAAGATGGGCTCTCTGAAGCTGCATCTTGAAGAGAGGCCCTTCTTCCTCCAGCAGTACACGATCAGTGCATTGTAGGACTGCACCTTTTTTATTTGATGACAGGAAATATCAACATGGGATCATGAGCGCCACATGGTAAGATTTGAAGCAATTGATGAAAAAAATAAAACACTTAGCAGTGTGTCGTAAAATCAGCCAACAGGGAGTGTGTGTGTGTGTATTTGTTCACAGGCCAGCGCTTGAGAACAGCCAGACCCTGCTGAGCCCCGTGGTGTCATGCGGGGCCCCCAGCGTCCCCCTCCTCTCCCCCGTCATCCTCTCCCTCCGCCACTGCGCTGAGCTCAGCCCCGAGGACTGGGCCCTCAGCCTCAAGCGGCAGCTCAGCTCGGGCCCCTGGGAGGTGACAGCTCACAGCCCCATGCTGATATTACGCATGCAAATTATACACGCGTCAGTGCACATTACTAGGGGTGTTTTTTTTGAGTCGCACAGAGAAACGTCGCTATTGGTTGATTCACGGCTGTAGCTAGGCTACCGGGGCACTGAGGTCTTGCAGATAGTGGTGTTGCTACAGTAGGGTCAGTCTTTGTGCAGGAATAATAGGTTTGTTTTGTACATCTCAGATTACTAACTTGGATTCTCTGTGAAAATGACATGGTTGTAATTGCAGCCATGTGTTGCATGTATTTGTTTAAGTTAGAAATTATGTCTGTCATGGTGACATATTCAATGGTGTTTGTTCACTGTGGCTACAATAATTTAGATAAACCCCTCGGACATGTTTCGGACCAATTAATGAAGGCAGAATAGTTGAAAGTAAGGTTAAAAAATAAAGTCTTCTAATTTCCTAATTGAGATTTTTTTTACAAGTGGCTAAGTAACGTTGTAAATCTTTTTATTTTATTTATTGACAGCATTTAGATCTCAGCACGTTTTCTTACAGCTTGCAAACACTTTATTTCTCAATGCGAATTATTCTTAAAATGCCCAGCTGGTAACAATGCTTATGAAAAATTCAATTCATCTTCACCAGATAAACCCAATAAAGTAGAGCCATTATTTGCCTTTTTTAATTCTCGCCTCCTGGATTGATTTAAAACAAATTTAAATTATAATTCCAACATGAGCCCGGTACAGAGCATAAACTGTAACAAAGCGAAGGGGCACAGAAACTCGCACGGACAAGAGTCCTCAACTCAATTACCCTTGGGTCTAGGGGAGGGCATAAAAATCCATGCGGGGTAGCATGGATTTTTATATGGGGAAGGGAATATGAAGGGAAGAACAGAAGTAAGGTGATATAAGGGATGAGGAGGGAAGGAGGAGGGGGCACCGTTTGGAATTTAAAGGAAAAAAAACATCTTCAAAGGTTATTGGTGAACCAAGTATTTGGCTTTGAAACCTGACCAGACTTGATCGGATAACGTGCTAGATGACCGTGCACGGGCATTGCAGGAGGTGCTGAGGCTGGGCGAGGAGCCTGCACGGCCGCCGAGCTGCCACTGGCAGCTGGAGGAGCGGGCGTGCCACGTGCTCACCGAGACGCCGGGCACGTACGCCGTGCTGGGGGAGGCGCTCGGCCCGGCGGCCGTCAAGCGGCTGAGGCTGGCGGCGTTCGCGCCCAGCGTGTGCCCCTCCCTGGAGTACAGCCTGCGCCTCTACTGCCTCAACGACGACGCCGAGTCCCTCGCGGTGAGAGCCGCTCCCCTCCCGGGGATTACGTCAACCACCAGCAGCAGCACCACTGCTCATCATTGTGTGTGTGTGTGGTCGTGTCTGCCACCAGTACTACTGCTCACCTTGTCTGTGTGTGTGTGTGGTCGTGTCTGTCACCAGTACTACTGCTCACCTTGTCTGTGTGTGTGTGTGGTCGTGTCTGCCACCAGTACTACTGCTCACCTTGTCTGTGTGTGTGTAAGCATGTCTGCCACCAGTACTACTGCTCACCTTGTCTGTGTGTGTGTGTGTGTGGTCGTGTCCGCCACCAGTACTACTGCTCACCTTGTCTGTGTGTGTGTGTGTGGTCGTGTCTGCCACCAGTACTACTGTTCACCTTGTCTGTGTGTGTGTGGTCGTGTCTGTCACCAGTACTACTGCTCACCTTGTCTGTGTGTGTGTGGTCGTGTCTGTCACCAGTACTACTGCTCATCTTTGTCTGTGTGTGTGTGAGCGTGTCTGTCACCAGTACTACTGCTCATCTTTGTCTGTGTGTGTGTGGTCGTGTCTGTCACCAGTACTACTGCTCATCTTTGTCTGTGTGTGTGTGAGCGTGTCTGTCACCAGTACTACTGCTCACCTTGTCTGTGTGTGTGTGTGGTCGTGTCTGCCACCAGTACTACTGCTCACCTTGTCTGTGTGTGTGTGTGTGGTCGTGTCTGTCACCAGTACTACTGCTCACCTTGTCTGTGTGTGTGTGTGTGTGGTCGTGTCTGTCACCAGTACTACTGCTCACCTTGTCTGTGTGTGTGTGTGAGCGTGTCTGTCACCAGTACTACTGCTCATCTTGTCTGTCTGTGTGTGTGGTCGTGTCTGTCACCAGTACTACTGCTCACCTTGTCTGTGTGTGTGTGTGGTCGTGTCTGCCACCAGTACTACTGCTCACCTTGTCTGTGTGTGTGTGGTCGTGTCTGCCACCAGTACTACTGCTCACCTTGTCTGTGTGTGTGTGTGGTCGTGTCTGCCACCAGTACTACTGCTCACCTTGTCTGTGTGTGTGTGGTCGTGTCTGCCACCAGTACTACTGCTCACCTTTGCTGTGTGTGTGTGTGAGCGTGTCTGTCACCAGTACTACTGCTCACCTTGTCTGTGTGTGTGTGTGAGCATGTCTGTCACCAGTACTACTGCTCACCTTGTCTGTGTGTGTGTGTGTGGTCGTGTCTGTCACCAGTACTACTGCTCACCTTGTCTGTGTGTGTGTGTGAGCGTGTCTGTCACCAGTACTACTGCTCACCTTGTCTGTGTGTGTGTGTGTGGTCGTGTCTGTCACCAGTACTACTGCTCATCTTGTCTGTGTGTGTGTGTGGTCGTGTCTGCCACCAGTACTACTGCTCACCTTTGCTGTGTGTGTGTGAGCGTGTCTGTCACCAGTACTACTGCTCATCTTGTCTGTGTGTGTGTGTGAGCGTGTCTGTCACCAGTACTACTGCTCACCTTGTCTGTGTGTGTGTGTGAGCGTGTCCGCCACCAGTACTACTGCTCACCTTGTCTGTGTGTGTGTGAGCGTGTCCGCCACCAGTACTACTGCTCATCATGTCTGTGGATTCTCGTTGCCATCTCCTTGAGGTGCATAAAAAAAACAGCAAGCGAGGGAGAATGTCTCACAATATCGCAGGGAGAACTACGTGTGAATGCTATTGTTTTAAGGGGTATATTGTTGCGTAACTGGAAAACTAACCTTGTTTTATATCCTGGTAAGACTAATACCTCAAAAAGAGGAAAACCTGGGAAAACGAGGATATGTTGCAACCATACTGTGGGGCCTGTGAGCCAATTGATTTAACTAAGATCTAAGACAGATGATGGGTGGAATAGATCTCTGACTAATTTGGAGTCACGGCCTTCCGATTGCGAGTCACACCTACTAACCACACGTGTCACACCTGCCTCCCGGCTGCATACTGTGTTAATTATACTCTGGTTATTGCTGCGTGGGGGCAGGCTGCTATGTTCTCCGCTCATCTTCTAACACAGTTTGAGCAGGAAGGACTTGGTTTCGTGACAACAATTCAAATGATAATGTCACACCTGTGAATTGTAATTTAAAGCTCAGTGAACACAAACACAGCGTTTCATTGCGACATTAACTTTAACTATAAAAGTGGCCTCTATGTCAATAACACATATTTACCTTTGTGAGATATAATTCCAATAACAAATGGTCTTTTATTTTATGATAAATTATTGCATGATTAACTTTATATAGGTCATTATGTTAAGTTGCTCCAAAAATAGGATTGTTTTGAAGGCAATATTGCATATAATTGTATTTTAGCGTTCACATTTACTACCTTTTAAAACATATAATTTAAAGTGTTTCCTGTGATTAGCATTTTTCGAGTATTTTCTATTATTGCAGTGAGAATATATATTTAAAAAAGCATTATTTTTGGTATTTAAACATACAAAAATCACACCATAAAATGTGCTGTATATACGGGGTTACATCAACATATTAATGTGGGACAGTGTTTTGGGATTTTTGACGTAATCAAGTTTATAAGCATCACTGCAAATTACATTATGTTCATTGCTGGCATTTGTATGTTAATGTGTGTATAAGCGTGATTGCCATTCCCCAGTGGAGTAGACCATTTGGGTATTTCAAAGTCACGTAACTTGCTGCCCTTATAGTATCTTGTTAAGGATAATAAATGAAGTTCGTAAAGATTTGCATGCGACATGACCAGCCCAATCATTAGTTAATGTTTTGCAGCATGTTCATTTACTTACTCTAAAAGTGTAGCTATTACAGAAAGCGATTTATTTGCAAATCCACTGTTTTACTTTCGTGCATTTTACTAATTGCTCTGGTGTGGACCAATCAGTTTCAAAGACAATGCATATATTATCAGAGGATGTTTTTTTGTTTGCATTCTGACCACAAGTGTGGTTAATGCAGACATGATTCCTTGTTAAAGGTTTCAGTTTGGTGTTTTAACATCTTAACGCCTGTTTTGTTGCCAGAAAAAAGGGGAAAACCTATTCTTATAAATACAGTGTGATTTGACATTGTGAATGTTTTAATGTACGTATATTTTCTTGTCTTAGTAAAAGAAAATTGGCAATTGAAAACATTCGAAATTGATTGTATAATTTGGTTCCTTACACGAATTGGTAGATATTTACTTTCTATACGCTTGGTAATGTGTTGAATTATTATGTTTCTGTCGTATTTTGTTAGAATTTATATGTTTTGCAGTGACATGCGCTTTATCCAATTATAGAGCTTAAATTAAATTCAATGCATCGTTTGCTACCTGGCCCATCCACACTACTTGGCTGCACTTTACATAATTTGAAATGATTGCCTCCAGCAATGATAATGACTTAAATATCATGAATATGAGATAACTGTATGCCAACCTGGTATTTATGATACGTGCATATGCATATATATGCAAGATTTATTTTCAAAAAATATATTCACTGCTCGATGTAGGCCTACTCATGCTGTGTTGGTCATGAGGGTTGTTTGACCATACTTTATCATGCTAATCAGTGCAGTTTGGTGAGAGGACAACCCATGACCAGTTCAAATATAATTCATCATGCATCGGCATGCTTACATCTGCATGCATTAAGATATGCATTCGCACATGTGTGTATGTATGTTTTTATTTGTGTCTGCGCATGTATGTGCATTTCTTGAAAATCATGCATGCATGTGTGCCCATGTGTGGGAGTGGTTGTGTTGTGGCTCACACACTACGATACAACCCTTGCGACCTGAGTTTGATTCCCGCTCATGGCCAACATTGGTGACGAACATCCAAACCAGTCCTGGCCTTCTCCTAGGTCAACTCAGCCTTAAACAAGTACCTGGTGCAGTGTGTAAACACCAGCACTGGGGAGACAAAGGCGGGCAGGCATGATTTCAAGCAACAACAGCAACAGCCGCCATTCTCCACGAAGTGGTGGTGACGTCACGGCGCTTGTGCCAGGCGATGTGCACTTAGATCTGGTTGCTAGCGACACCACACTTTCGGGTACCATGCTAGCCGATATAAATATGGGTGAAGAGTACTGGCCCCAATTGTCTGTTGAGGCTGTACAGGAGATAGTTGTATTTTGATGCATTTGTGTGCACTCTTGCACGTGGGTGAACGCGCGTGTGTGGATGCGTACGGGACATGCAGGAGGTCGTGGAGCTGGAGAAGCAGCTGGGAGGCCGTCTGCTGGAGGAACCCACGACCCTGAACTTCAAAGCCAACTCAGGGAACCTGAGGCTCTCGATCCACGCCATCCCAGACGTCCTCTGGACTAACAAGCTGCTCAACACGTTCCAGGTTTTGAATGAACCTATTAGTGTTTGTTTTGTTTTCCATTTGCTCCGTCCCGCATGATGACAGAGCACATTGTGTTTGATTAGAGGCGTGTTTGATGATTCACTGCATTCGATCATGGACCATTGCCACGCATGTAATATGAAACTCACGAGGAAATGCATTTCAAATGAATAAAAAAAACGCGTATTCGTCAACTTGATTTAACATTGAAAAATGTTTGTGCGTTGTCACTGCAGGATTGCAGTAAGATACACACGGTAATGTCAATTTACATGAACATGTTAAAATATAATCTGAGCAGTGAAATCTATTTGTGGTTATGAAGATAACAGAAACTTAATGGATTTGCTTTGCATTTAGGATTCCTGTTATAAATGTACATATGTAAAACAACCTTAGAATGTATTTTTGTTGTACTTGCTCAAAAATTTGTTGTACATAAGCAAGACTAATGTGTTCAACTTTGGAACACCCACAACACACCCACTTGATGCTTTACTGATGCCTATCAAATCATTTTGGACAAGTCTGTGTAAATCATTTACATTGTTCGTGTAACTGGGAGATTAAAAAAGATAAAAGTGCACACTTAGAACATTTTCCTAGATATTTTATGAAAAGCTGGAGATTCACACAATCTCATTATTAAGTAACATATCCAATGGTTAAACTCCATTCAATGCATTTTGTATGGAAATATACATATATAGAGAGAGCTAATTCTAGTGGGAATCCCTTTCACCAGCAGCGGCATGAGCAAGGAATTGCAGGGCTGCACTTTTACAATTTGCTTCTTGAGAGAAGTCGAGAATGTCCCATCTAGACGAGACTGGGCCACGGTCATGAGACAGGGGAATTTTGAACGCTGGCTCACGGCCCTTTGACCCTTTGTTTGTTGCACCGCCAACCGTGCAGGAGATCCCCTTCTGGCACGTGTGGCCGGGCTGCCAGCGGCTGCTGCACTGCACCTTCGCCCTGGAGAGGGCCGGCCTGAGCAGCACCGAGTTCTCCTGCAAGCTCTGTGTGCAGCAGCTGGAGGGTGAGGGCCAGGTGCTGCAGCTGCGCACAACCCTGCTCAACGTGAGTCACCCCCTCTGCATCTCCAGGGACCTCCCCTTCTCCGCACACCGCACCTGAACACGAGTCTAGTCTACCTAGCATCAGTGCAGCTTTGGCTCTCTTTTTGTTTGCATTTTCTCTGTGGGGGTGGGGGGGGGGCGACGCATTAATGGCATCATGTATTCAGATAAAGAATTAGCCATTCGCGATTCTCATAGAGAACAGCCCACGTGAGGTGATATCACAAAACTGCTTGGCAGAGTTCGTGAAGTTGCCTCTTATCCACACTTTCCCAATGTTTTAAACATTTAATTGTTTGAGATGTTCATTGCATAGCAGTCAAAAATTATTGATTCTCAGAGCTGTAAACTAGATTTTTTTTTGTGGGGCCATTGGTGATGCACTTAGACCACTCATTTTTATCATGGGTGCCTGTTCAGATCGAATCCGAAATCTCAGCAGTACTGTTCAGTGTGTTGACCCCTGAGCCACTGAGCTACCTTGTATTCATGTTTAAAAATTTTCATAATGTAAACCAGTGGTTGTGTAGTGAGTCACTCAGAGACACTAACAGTAGGAGGCACTCTATTTATTATAGCCTTTACTGGCACAGGGAATAACTACACTCTGGTCAGGACAGTTAACAGGCTGCCTGACCAACGACGCCGAGGAGGTGAAGACAGTGAAGAAGACTCCTGTAGCACGACGAGTTCCACTCCAAAAAGACACAAACCTTGCTTGGGGTCCCCCTTTTATCCACCCAGCGTGGCCTCGCTCTGCCCTCGGCCACGCCCCCCTTCCAGGACCTACCCGAAGGTTATCGGCTCTACCCCCCATGCCCCCTCTGTCACCTTTGTCCCACTTCCCTCTCTCCAGCTTATCACATGACCTGCTGGCAGACAGGGCTGCTACAACAGCAGATCCCCTTTGCCAGCAACCAGCGCTACGCGCCATAGTGACCCATTCCATGTTGTGTCACTACATGGAATGGGTCACTATGATGTCACTACATCACCCCCCCCCTCCCCCCCCGTGAAAAAAAAAAAACAGCCATCCCGGTTAACCTCCATACCCCGCGTAGCAGCACGACAACACAACAATAATTATCCCGCCCATGAATAGTATTAACTAGAACAAGAAATAACCAGAATAGATAACAATCGTGAACGCACGGCAATAAACCCGGCCCCCAGGGACACGACAACCCCCAACGACCGTCAGCGTGCCGCAGCCCGCCAACAAGGGAAGGACCTCAGGTCAACCGACAGCCACAGCCTGGCTCGCGTCTGCAACTACCTGCCAGACGGCAGGTAGTTGCAGAATAGAATAATGGGAAGGGGCGTGTTATTTTAACCGTACAGTTTTGGAATGGGTCCTCGTCGCCGGCCCCCCAGGTGGTACGAGAATGGGTTTCCTGGGGACCCTGGGGACGACTTGTAAATGGCCTAATGGGTGCAGCCCCTCCCGGGAAGAAGATGAAGGAGAAGATGAGGCGGTTGGCGGTCGTTTCGTCCCTCCTGGCTTGCCTGCGGATGGCGCCGCCGGTGGTACCGTGGGTGTCAGATTCTGGGATCCTGCAGGCAAAAAAACGGAATCCCGCTGAGGCGTACCCTCCGTAACCATACACCCGGGCTCGTTGGACACATCACACACCTGGCCGTCAGGTAGTGGAGATGAAACGACATCACAAGGTGGAAAATAGGGTTTCAGCCATGATGGGTGCACAAACCAGCGCCTGCGACCGACCTGGATACGTACGCACTGTGGCATCCTGACCTCAATCACCTCAACCGGGCCCTGCCATGGCCGGTGCAATTTAGGGTACGTGCCCAGGGGCACCTAGGGGCAATGCAGCCACGCCTTGTCCCCAGGGTTCCATGGGCTTCTGGATACGCCGAGTCCCACAAGCTTTTTATTGGCGGCTTGCCGTTTGGCCGAATTATCCCGAGACGCCTCCCGTGCTTCCGCCAGTCGTTTGAGAGTAAGGAGCATGGGCGTGGGCACAACGGCCCTCTTTTTGCCCGGATCCATGTTTAACTGAGCCTCCATGGGAGGATTATATTCCTTCCCGTATATGAGGAAAAAGGGGGAGAACCCAGTTGAGGCGTGAGGGGCTATTCCGTACGCGGCGAGAACACTCGAAATGTGGAAATCCCAATCGGACTGCGCCTCATTGACCTGTTGGCACAGCATGGACGTGAGAGTCCTATGCAAGCGCTAATACCATCCCGTCAGTCAGGGGATGGTAGGGCGACGTCTGGATCTTTTTAGTGCCCAGGGAGTTGCACACCACCTTTAATAATTTTTAAGAAAGTTTAGACCTTGGTCTATTAGGAGACATTCCGGGGCTCCCTTATCTAAAACATAGCTGTGTAAGAATGCGTCCGTGATGGACGCGGCCGACTGATCCGGCAAAGGCCATGCCACCAGCCACCGGGACAGGTACTCCACCCCTACGAGCAAAAATCTGTTTCCCCTCGGGGTGGCGGGAAATGGCCCGAGGATGTCGAGAGCAATGAGCTCGTTAAGACGGGACACCTTGATGGACTGCAACAGTGGCTGGGCCTGCCTCATTGGGGGCTTTCGGCATGTTGTGGACATCCTCTGACATTTCGGCCCAAAATAAATCGCGCTTCAGGGTTGATGAGGTTTTCCTCACCCCAACCTCTCATGGAAAGCCCGTGTCACTCTACCCCGCAGAGCAGTTGGCACAACGATGCAGTAACGCTGCACCTCAACATCCCACCTCATCAGCAAACCATCACGGAGGACCACGAGGGACATACCCCCTGGTCCCTGTCTACCACCCTTCGCTCCGACGCGACACCGCAATTTTAGCAGGGAGGCATCCTCCACTTGGAGGCGTCCCCATTCCGCGTGCATGAGACCAATCGTGTTATCGTGGAAATCGGCTGATGCGGGTGGTGAAACGTCAACCGACGCCACGACGGTGCCCGGCAATCCTGCAACCGCAGGTTTACAATGGCCAGCACCCAACAAACACGCACATTGGCCCTTTGGCGGCAATCACGACAGCGTGTCCGCATTACAGTGGCGTGTACCTTTCCTGTAGGTGACCGTAAATAAATAATCAGCGGGAGAGCTGGCCGGACGGCTGGTCAACCCGCAGCGCATATTGAAGAGCCGCATGATCTGTGCGTACAACAAACTGCCTACCATAAAGGTATGGACGGTACTGTTGTACGAAATTTACAATGGCCAATAATTTGCGGCACGTCACATAATAACGCTGCTCTGCGGGGGACAGTTCACGGCTCCCGTAAGCAACGACTCTCTCTACACCGTTTACCACCTGTGATAGTACAGCGCTGATTCCGGTGCCACTGGTGTCTGTATCCAGCACAAATGGTAAAGAAAAATCGGGGTACCCAAGGGGAAGCACGTTAACAAGGCCGTCGTGCAGCGCGACAAACACGGCCTCCTCCTCCCCCCACCGAAATTTTTGACCTTTCGCAGTGAGAGCATGGAGCAGTTTTGCGATTATGCAAACGTGGGCACAAAGCGGTGGTAATATGACGCGAATCCGATAAAACTGTGAACTTCACCCATCGACATGGGGGTTGGCCATGTGCGCATGCACACAGTTTTGTTGGGGTCCGTGGCTATCCTGGACTCGCCGACGATGTCACCCAAGTAGCGAACCAATGTCTGCAGGAAATGACACACACACACACTTGTGTTAACTGGAGGTGCGGGGCAAGGACAACAAACTTTATACAAAAAGCAGTTCAAAAGAAATTAGTTTTCAATCTAGAAAAATGCTTAGCTCCAGTCACTTTCTAATATCAGAACGAAGAGCATTCCCGACTGGCACAGAATCACATCTTAAAGCGTGCAATGTAGTGACTGTCTTTGGTTGATGCTTAGCCAAAAGCCACTTCGAGGGTGACCGGAGTTTACATGATGGTTTATGCTCCTTGGATAGACTTGTCCCCACTACATGAATCTGGAATTATTTCAGTGGTAAGACCACTGCAATAATTGCAAATTCATTAATCCCTAAAAATGAGCAATACCTAATTAAGCCAAGGGCCTCAAAACCACCTAGACTCTATGGGCTACCAAAGATTCATAAAATCGGCATCCCATTACGACCCATAGTCAGTACAATTGGCTCTGCCACATATCAATTAGCAAAATATATAACCAAACAAATACAGCCCTACATCGGTAAGACATCTTCATTCATAAAAAAATTCAGAACATCTTGTGAATGTGATTAAAGATATTAAACTTACTCCTGATGATATTCTGGTAAGTTTTGATGTGATTTCTCTATTAACTAAGGTTCCAGTGGACGAATCGCTTAAATTATTTGATACACTAGTAAAGAATACCGGTTTACAAAAAGATATTCCGAAACTTGCTGGCCATTGTTTAAATAACACTTACTTCTTATGGAGAGGGGATTTCTTTAAACAAAAGGAAGGAGCAGCAATGGGTTCTCCTTTATCCCCTGCTATAGCAAATTTGTACATGGAAAACTTTGAAATAAGAGCACTTGCCTCGAGCACATTAAAACCATCCTTTTGGTTTAGGTATGTGGATGACACTTTGGTTGTCTGGCCACATGGTAAAGATACACTTAATGATTTTTTAAATCATCTCAATGCACAAAACCCGGCCATCCAGTTCACCATGGAAATGGAGGTGAATAACACACTCCCATTCCTAGATATTTTGCTTGGACATGGCCTAAATGGTAAAATAACACACAGCGTTTACAGAAAGCAAACGCACACTGATGCCTATCTGAATGCAGAATCACATCATCATCCAGCTCAGAAATCCTCTCTTATCAAGACGCTCGTACATCGGGCGAAAACAGTATCAGATGGTGAGAGTCTAGTGAGAGAGATTAAACACGTTAAAGACGCACTACGACAGAATGGCTACAATAATGCTCAAATTAACAGAGCACTGAATGCCAAATCACGATCGCAAAGCAATACTACTGAAAGCGACCAGATTGTTAAAACAATAAAAATTCCATATATCTCAGGAGTAACTGACAAATTAGCCCGTGTTCTGCAAAAGCAAAACATTACAGTAAGATTTGGTACAGTACACAAAATTCAAAAACTAGTATCTTGCACTAAAGATGCATTACCTGAACTATCAACAGAAGGTGTATATCAGATTAATTGTTCATGTGGCAGCTGCTACATTGGGCAGACGGGACGTAACATCAGCGTAAGACTAAAAGAACATCAGAGAAATATTAAATTATCTCAAACACAACTGTCGGCAGTGGCAGAACATGCTTGTCAACAAGGACACTCAATTGATTTTGACAATGTTGCAGTGGTGTGTAAAACGAATTATTACTGGCAAAGACTAATTAGAGAATCCATTGAAATTGAGAGGAACAAGAATAACTTTAATCGCTCTGACAGCTACCGGCTTAGTGCGGCCTGGAAGCGTATTATTAAATAATACACATTACATTTAAAGAATTACTAATCTACAACTCATTACTAATCATAACCAATGACTGATTACTAATCGATTATATAACTACAATACCCCCCCTCCGCCTCTAATCAATGCACCTGATATGAGTTAAGTGGGAGCAAGCGAGGGCTTTACCATTCTGGCGAATTGCTTGATGATGCTGGATGTATTTACCAGCGAAACGTCGTACTCAAACTGTAAATGTGGATTAACTCTTCAACACACCGGTGGGCTGAAGTAGTGAATTATTTGTCTTTTGTCAACGTGACACTTTTTTGCTGATTGGCCGTGTCGGGTGGTGGAGGGTTACAACACATTTATAAATAAACGCGATCTAACCCAAAAACCTTTATTATGAATAATATTGGTCGCGAAAGCCTACGTGTTAAAATGAATCTGGAATGTCCACCACTGCCTCGTACCCAGTGTTGCAGCCACCTTAAACGTATGACATTTGCATGGCATCTGTACACATGTCCTTTGTATACACGCATGACACATTTCATTTTGCACGAATTCATTGTATAATTTTATGAGTTGAAGTTGTCCATTGCCTAGTTACAAGTGCCTTTACCTAGACAGATGGCGATCGTATGCGTTTTTGTTCCATCTGGTCTAGAAGCAACAGCAGTTGTAATCAAGCATGAACAAGGAAGTCAGCTTACAATGTGGACCTCCTCTCTCAGAGATTACATAGAAAGGCAGTCCAGTGTTGTTCATCTTTACATGTTTAATCTCTTGACGAATTTATGTTTTTTTTGGGCAAAAACAGGCCACTATCTCCAAGACCAAGAATGATGCAAATTGCCGCCCAAATGCATTTAACATGGTTTGTGAACATATAAATCTGGCGCTAAGACTGAAAATCAGGATTATAGGATCACAGTGTTAATTCGCTTGGTCTCTAGAACATTGATCAAAGGAGAATGTCAACAGTGCCTAATGCCTATGTCATTGCACTTTGGGCAGATAGAGTTTCCATGTCAAGCGGATTTTGACCTGCATTTTAATGCTGAATGTGGCTGCCCACATTCTACCGCACTAAAAAAAGAAAATCTGTCAATTAAGCCCGGCTTAATGATTGGTGGATAGGTTAAGTTATTATTTAGGCAAAGTCGTGCAATGTCACCAGCTATTAACTTACATATGTAAATAATGTCCAGAATAATAAACATCTAAATAAATATAATTTCCATTTAATTTGTACGTGAACATACACAGCTGTGAGAGTATCGTCAATAGTTTGATGTAATGCGTTAATTAATTGTGTCTGCGAAGACAGCCAATAATACAGTCTTGAAATTGAACTTAATTTGTAATTTCCCTAAGAGCTCTAAAAAAAAAGCAGTGGCTCTGCTTGATGTCTCTTGTTCGTTAATTGGCATGTCTTGGCAGTGGTGGAGAAATACTTATTTTTAACGTTGTACCAAGGCTTCAGAGAAAAATGCCAAATGTGTTTCAAAATTAACTGCCGCTTCATCTCGACTGCTCACATGGCAAACTCCAAAAATATTCCCTCTCCACTACTTTGCAGAGTTTACATTTAATTTTTAAAATGAGTCAAGAGTAGGACACGAAGCTTAGATGGAGAAACGAACATGAAAGGATACACCACTCTAGCAGAGTGATGGCTTCATGTAGCAAAATAGAGTTGCTCAACATTTTGCTATAAAGGTACAGTGAGGGAAAAAAGTATTTGATCCCCTGCTGATTTTGTACGTTTGCCCACTGACAAAGAAATTATCAGTCTATTATTTTAATGGTAGGTTTATTTGACCTCTGTGATTGCCAACAAGGGTTTTGCCACCAAGTACTAAGTCATGTTTTGCAGAGGGGTCAAATACTTATTTCCCTCATTAAAATGCAAATCGATTTATAACATTTTTACATGCGTTTTTCTGGATTTTGTTGTTGTTATTCTGTCTCTGACTGTTCAAATAAACCTACCATTAAAATTGATCATTTCAAACTGATCATTTTAAACTTATCATTTCTTTGTCAGTGGACAAATGAACAAAATCAGCAGGGGATCAAATACTTTTTTTCCCTCACTATAATAGAAATGTGATGTAGCCCAGTGCTATGCTTCATGAAATACTTCTTAGCAACATTCTTAAAACAACAAAGGAAATAGGTAGTTAGAAGGAATTTAACGTGTATAGTTACGCTCAGGAACGTTCACCTTAAATAAATGACCGATATAAATATTCTAAATTCTAGACCTTTGTATGGTACAAATACACTTCCTGTGTACATTTATTTCAGTAGCTATGCATCATGCCACCTTTATGAATATCATATGCTTAATTCATATTATTCAAGTAACATTTATTAAGATTATATAATCTTCAGTAATTCACATCATTATTTTGAATGTATACATTTCAGTGTGGCTACTACCTAAGATGAAAGAGAGAGCCACTTGTGAATCCAGCAAATTGTGACTTCTTCTAAACAGAAAAAAATGTGCTGCCAATGGTGATGCAAATAATACTTGAGCACTCCCAGTGATATAGCTTCCAAACAGCTACTACTCGGGTAATTACATTATGGTGATAATTTTATATTTCGTCAGTGGCCAATTTGGATACTTGATGCACAAATGGGAATTGTAAAACTATCTGGTGCCCGACTGTGGTCACTCAGAATAGACCATGGAACATATAACGACTCGGTGCCCGATTTGCAAATACGAAGGTAGGATCACAGCGATGTACCACTCTGCTACTCGTGATGCAATAATTTTGCTCAACCATTGCAATGGAAAATCATAGTTGTTGCTCTACATCAACATCAGCCATGTGAAAAAGTGGTTGCTGATGTTGTTGCTGTTGTGTTTTGCAGGCTCCGAGTGCCACTGATGATTCCCCCACGGAGGCTGCCTCTGCTGGCTCGGCCCTCGTGGGTCCCCAGGCGTTCAAGCTGCCCTACTCCATCCGCCAGAAGCTGTGCAGCAGCCTGGACTCCCCCAACCCCCGCGGCAACGACTGGAGGCTCCTGGCGCACAGGCTGGGGGTCAACAGGTACGGGTGGACAGAGAATCCTACATGGGGATATTAAAAATAGACTGGGTATCAACAGGTATGGGTGGACAGAGAATCCTACATGGGGATATTAAGAATAGACTGGATATCAACAGGTACGGGTGGACAGAGACTCTTATATGGGATATTAAGAATAGACTGAACATCAACACGTACGAATGGACAGACCATAGACTCCTATAATATGAATAGAATGGGTATCGACATCTAAGAGTGGACGGTTTCTTATATGAGGTTAATTAAAATAGACTGGGCATCAACAGGTATGGGTGGACAGTGAGAGAGGTCTATATGGCAATAATATTGATAATAACGTTATAGACTGGGCATCAATAGGTATCCATGGACACAGCGCCCTATATGGGGTTAATACTAGTACTGTCATATAATAGTCTGGAAATCAACAGGTGTGGGTAGACAGAGAGTCCTAAATGGGTTATGTCTTTTACCCTGGCATTGATTTTTAATTCCCTGAGTCAATTTGGTACAATTCTGTACCCTGCATCACAGCCTTTATAACCTATGCCTTTAAGGGCTAGACACATTGTCAGTACCAATCTGCATCACCTCCTGTTCATCTTGTTAAGAGTAAACCACTGAATTACTTCGTAAAATACTGTTCTGCATGGCTGAATCACATGAATTTAGCCATCAAAAAATATCAAGGAATATTATGTCACGAACGAATAAGGCAGTCAAAGGTATAATCTATGCAAATCAGACCACTATTTACTAGTTTATACTGAATCTGTGTATTAATATACTTATCCATGCTATCTTCACATATATTTTCTGAATTTTATATTTTTATTCACCCTTTTCTCTTTTAACTCTATAAATGTCTTATTGTAATGAATGTCATGTTTTTTTTGTTTCATTAAAAATTTTTTCTTTATTTATATATATAAAAAATACATTTAAAACACAATACATTTAAGCCATTCTCAATCCCTCAACGGATGAAGGCTTCCCAACACCATGTGGGTTGATGCTGATATAGTAAGCCAGGTTAGTTTCATCAGCAATACAATACACATATTTGGCAGCAGTCTAGTCCCACTATGAAGGCCCAATAATTGTACATAAAAAGCAATCTCAATGTGTTAATCAAATAGCTATTCACAATTCCAGTCACATCTGTCAAATATCAATCGAGCGCAGACAAGTGGCTTTGCAATATTTGATTTATATAAGTAATGTTAGAGTATTTACGTACGCGTTTTGCTCAAACACACTTTTATGAGGGTAAAAATAATGTGAAAATTACATTGTATTAAATTTAACTTAATAAAGGTGCTGCCCTGCAATTGGTTGCCCATGCAACTACTGGCAGAAGGGCGTCCACTAGAGGGAGCTCTGCAGAGCCACTCTGGAGGGGATTTTGGAGTCCTCTTTCATGGTGGCCAGATATCTCGGAAGAAGTGGCGGTACCCAAACGTCACCCCACCGCACGCGCCTTGTCAATTAACTCGCTGTGGCATACCCATGTTTACTGCTGGGTGGACAGAGGCGGGGAGGTTTTAATAAACTTGCTCCTCCAGCAGTGGATAGATAATGCTACGTGTAAATTCTTCCCTCCCACATCTCTCTGAATCCTAAACCTAATTTCTATTTCGCTTGTGATTGTGCTTTCAGATATAATTATAAGTGGATGCCTGAAATGTAAGCTATAATTGTTGTCGCACATGATTGTGTAGGGTTGGCGATATTTCATCGCATATAAAATGGAAAGCATGGGTGTGTGACCATGTGCACGTGTGCGTGCGTGTGTGCATGGGTTCATATTTGTGAATTAGGAGCTTGTGTAAATGTGTGTGCCAACAAGTCAGTGGGGAGCGGTGGCGAAGTGGTTAGGGCACTGTGCTCTCATCTGGCAACCCGAGTTCCAATACCCGCTCATGGCCAAAACCAGTGACGATTATTTGAAACGGTCCTGGGCCTCCCCTAGGTCGACTCAGCCTCAAATGTAGATGTGAGTAAAACATCGCCACTGGGGAGACAAAGGCGATCGGGCGTGGTGCTGGCCACCCACCCCCTCGTTTGCCGGGCTGGCCTTCATAGGTGCTCGCTAACAGCACTTGCCCCTACAGTCTGTTCATGCTATGAAGGGGATCTTTGTCAACAAGTCAGCTCGCTTCATCCACACATTTTCTTGCCTCTTTCCCAGGTTATTTGAGACAGATTGTATTTTGTATAGCATTTTAGAGTGCTTGCAGATGCAGTGAACCATGCATTTGAATGTGTTGGATAATATACACTTTAAATCTTACATGGGAAAATACAGTAATGTAATTGTAATTGCTTTAGCATGAGCATTGTCAATGATGTTCGCTAATTAAATCTTATGGCTGTAGGAACATTGAGGAAAAAAATAATTTAACTCAATTTAATTGAATGTGTTTCCAAAAATGCATAATCAAGTATAAATGAATACATTGCAAAAATATTGCCTTTGAAAATTTACTAATGAAAGAAAGAATACTTAATATGATGGTAAACTGAAAAAAATACACTGAGAGTTGTAAAAAATATATCTCATATAATTACAAAATGTTGTGTTACCTCATGTGAATCACAGAATGTTTAATTGTCTAAATGAAGAACAACAATTATCATATTCCCTTATGAAAACAATACATTCTGAGGAGGCGTCATATTAAGTTAATATTACTTATGTTTGCACGCATAAAAAAATCCTGCTTAGTTTTTTTCTTTCGTCCTATTGTTTACATAGGTCGTGCAACATATGGTATATAGGCTATACATTTTATGAGCCTAATTTATACATTGAAATATTTATATTACAATAAACAATTGCTCATGAGCCAAGATAGAGAATATTGTAAAATATGCAGCATTAAGTCAATCACCAATACATGTAAACGGCATGACTGAGCACACCATCCTTTTATGTGCATTGTCACATCCTGTAGCAAGTCATTACCAAGCCAATGCCCTAGTTTCCCTTATGAAATAATTAAATAAAGCGCCACAACACAAACCTTTGTGTAAAACAAGGTTTTAGCAATTACATGAAGTTTTCTTTCACAGAACAAAGACATGCTTATCCCATTTGTAGTTACAGCTAAGAACAAGATATCGGAATATGAGAATTGTGCTGATATCTATAAATTAAAAGCACGCTGTGTATATTTAAGTGACGTTATTTTGTACAAATATCTGAAAAACCATAATTAGACTATCAATGTCAATAGGCTTTCTCCCAATTGCCATGGAATGTTGATATTATTATTATGTACTACATTTAATGGGTACTGTTGGGCTGATGACTCTAGTGTGTGCATTGCAGTGTTGCCATGTAACCAGTTCATTCTATTGGCACATCCACAATTAAATCAGGCATTCCGAGCTTCATTCTTAGGAGCATCCATTGACAATTCCCCCCCAAAAAATCTAAACATGTGTCAATTGCACAGCCTTGAAAGGATTACCATACAATATAGAGCATTTCAGGCAAATATCGTTATTTGCATAAACAGGCCAGAGAGATAGTTAATAATGGTTGAAGACTGCACTTTACACAATGGGGGCCTGATGAGAATTACATTTTAAGAATTTTTTTCTGATGAAGTTTTTTTTTAAATATAGTTATTGAGTAACAGAGAGGTCCATATATAATAAAATAGAGTATTACTAAATAAACTCGTTTATATTTAAACGTAAAATTATAATATGTTAATGACACTGGATTGTGGGAATGTTTGCTCCTGTGAGAATACGGGGTAATCTACTTAGCAGTGCATTTCTGGGCCCAATTATAATTTTAATAAAATGCATTTAACTGCCTTACATTCCTGAGGCAGAGGAGTCTGAGAAATGAAATGTAGAGAACAACTATGAAACTAAAATTAATTAACATATGCAGTATAAGGTGTACCTTTATAAGATAAACCTGGCCAAGATGGCTTCACTGTGACTGTGCATTGTCTTAAACATCCGATTGCATCATTCTACTGGAGGGAAAGCAACAATCGTAAAGAGCTATAACAAAAAAATAAACGAAAACAAAAGGTAAAGGTGCAGCACTGAAATTCTTGCTCATGCCAGTGCTGACAGAAGGGCCTTCATTAGAGGAAGTTTTTGAGAGCTCCTTTAGAGGGTATTTTGCCTATTCGTTGTGTATGTGGACCCTCTTTTTGCATCATACCTAGCCAACCGAACACATTCCAATAGACGTTTTAGAAGAGATGGAAGGACCCACACTTTACCCCACCGCACATGACATGCCGAACGGCTGGGTGTAGAAGTGGATGAGTTGTATTAAACTTGCTCATTGTGTCAACTGCAGTGCTGGGAGATCGAAGCGATGACACCACGGCAAACTTGTAAACGAATCATCACTTATTTATTCTAGATTTGAAGCTTTCGTGACTGCAAGGATTCATACTCTTTGGTTTTATTCGGTGAAGTCACGTAGATAAAATAAAACAAACAGATATTCTGCGTTGACTGTTCCACCTGAAGACGGAAGCTTGTGTTGCCTCCGAAACGTCGTGATTTAATTGTTTTATTTTGTTTTATTTTATCTACGTGACTTTACCGAATAAAACCAAAGAGCATTACTTATTTATTAACTTTAAACACGATAGATAGATATTATTGGTTCTTTCGGTAAAGTCACGTAGAAGGGAAACAATAAAATAAAAAAATAAAACAATAAAATCTCTTTTTGATTTAAAGCTTTCGTGACTGCAGTAATTCATATTCTTAGCTCTTTCGGTAAAGTCACGTTGAAGGGAAACAATAAAATAATAAAATATATATAAAACAATAAAAATTATCACGACGTTATGGTCGAAACGTCGTGAGAATATTTATTGTTTTATATATATTTGATTATTTTATTCTTTCCCTTCAATGTGACTTTACCGAAAGAGCTAAGAATATAATAAAATCTCTGTATTTATGTGCTAATTTTATTGTGTTATATTTTTATTATTTTATTGTTTCCCTTCTACGTGACTTTACCGAAAGAACCAAGAATATGAATCCCTGCAGTCACGAAAGCTTTAAATAAAAATACGATAGATATACTTAACAAAATGTTTAATTACCCAAGATAACTGGCGTATGCTGAACTTTTTACGACTGATCGGCTTGTTAGGTGGTGGCTTTGGCCCCATATCCATCCTCCCAGGATCGTTAGAATGAATGCCACCGATGGCCCAATGAGAGTGTCACCTGCCATGGGGAAATGTAATTCCCACTGCTGACTCTGGACTACCAAGCGAGAACTGAGGACCCCTCCCATGAGGTTACTGGGAGCAGCGGTCATGGCCGGTCGTGCATGACTGACCGCTGGGCTTCACACTGCCGATGGGGTTAGGGTTAATGACACCGCTTCCGTGCCTCTATTCAACTACATAGTTAGCACATAAATACAGATATTCAGTTCTGAACGTGTGTTTGTTGCCCATGTGTGTTTGTGTGTGCGGTCCAGTTGCCTGGAGTATTTCGAGATGAGAGGGAGCCCCACGGGTGTGGTGCTGGACCTGTGGGAGGCCCAGCACGAGGAAGATGGGGATCTGGACTCGCTGGCCAGCGTGCTGGAGGAGATGGGCCGCCGGGAGGCCCCACACCCTGCCCTGGCCCATGCTTGAACCCTGTGATGGTCAAGCAGATGAACTGCAGACCACCTAAACAGAGGCTTCGACAGCGATTTAGACACCTACTGTAAATTATCGATGGTGAGCATAAAAGCAGCAACTATGAAGTCCAGAAAGGATGCAGTTTTTATTCTGCATTCGTATGGCAGAGAGTTGATCAGAAACTTTATAAGGTCATGTCGCGTTTGTTGAGTGAGCCAGTGGATGGCTTCAGGAGTAGCCTCATGGTGAATATCTGAAATGTTGCCAGCAAATAATTTAAGCGGGCAGTGGTGTTATTACGTGGTCCATGGTTTGAGATCGGTGCACGCAGTCACTCTGTGGGCTACTCCGCACTTAAGAGCTTGAATAAACTAAACTGAAAATAGTGACGTCTCTAAAATCTCTCTCATCTATTTTGATACATTTTTAGTTGTGAAGTTTAAATCTCATACTGCAAAGAACTGCCACATATGTTCTTATACCTGGAACGATTTATCCATATATCTACACTCAGAACTGCTTTTCTGTTTGCTAGGAAGAGTATTATAAATTTTTAACAAAAATATTGACTTGAAATTTAAAAAGAACCCAAATGTTTCAGTGATGTACCAGTCTCAAAAAATGGATTAAAGTTCATACCGTGACAATGTTTTCTTCCCCTGTGTGCTTTACTTTATAACGCAGGTGTTAAAATTGGTCTCTGGTCATTGTTATAAACACTCCTTAATATCGTGCTACTGTTTGCTTTGTGACAAAACTTTTGAAAATGGGAAACTCAATATCTTTAAGTGCTCCACTTGGTACTGGAAGGTTCCAGAACCCATTAATGATAGATTTCTTGAAGCTTGTTCAGATCAGCAGTCGTTGATGTAAATATTTAGTGTGACTTTCCTACATGAGTTGTGTTCTTACACGAAATTGCATTGTGATTTATTTCTGTATGTTTCGATGTTGTTTATATGCCATGACCTATTTTTATTTTCAGTGTAATTTAATTAAGTTTTCCATGTTTTGCATCCAGGTGAACATTATGTGTAAATAGACCTAGCATTTTATTGCATCGATACTCAATGAACATCCAATATATTTGTAATATCAAGTCTCAATATGTGCATACATTTTACATAGCTTCTCTTTACAATTGCAGAAGCTTAATCAAATGAACCGATCTATTAATTTGTATTCAATCTACCCATAGTGAAACTCCAAACTGAAACTGTGACCTGCACCTTTTAATAGTTTCGTGCAAAAATGCGATGGGCATTGAGACTTGCTGTGACGTTGGTGTACACCTTGAGAAACATGTGGAAAAACCATGTGCTTGATTTCACAACTTTTGAGAGCCATGTAATTTTCAATCACAGGTGTAAGTGAACATGCCTATATGCCTATTGTCATTGCGAATTTTATAGAGAGAAGAGCACCAAACACCAGTTTGTTTTCTTTAAATTAGTGTTGTGTCAGTAAGAAAATCTACCAAAAGAAAATTATACAAGCTTGCACTCATAAGATAAAGACTATTACTTTCCCCACTAACTCTATGTCATGATGACATTTTTTTAAAAATACTGTTATGTGTCTTGAGTGTGGAAATTACAGAATAGCTACATGGCTTTTTAGCATGCATATATTGTTTGCATATACAGGGTCACAAGACAACTTGGGAACTTGCCTGTTTGAGCAAGGTTGTGAGTTAGGGCTCCATACACTCAGCCCATTTGTTTTCGCTGATTGAAGCTGAATTTTAAGTTGGGCCGAATATGTAAGCGCTTCACTCCAGGACCAGATTACCAAGCCAATGCCTGCTTGCTCAGTGGGCCAGCCAGTCCATTTCTGTGTATGCATACACTGCAGTATTTCTTTACATATGAAAACCCAAGCAGAATTTTTCAAGCCGATACAAATGTACTGCAATTTTGTACAAGCCTTCATTTATAATGTGCAATATACATTAGCGTTTGCCAGTACTATAGAACAAAAATAAAGCAGAGGTAGCCTTAAATGTATACTTGTTTGTAGACCAGATCACAGTATATTCAGTTCCAAGCTAAACTATTTCAGAGATTAATATTCTTGGTGCTTTCGGTAAAGTCACGTAGAAGAGAAACAAATAATAAAAATATAAAACAATAAAATTTCAAATTTTCTTGTTGTAGTTTTCACACCTGATGATGATTGCTTGTGTTGCAGTCGAACCGTCGTGAGAATTGTATTTTTTATATTTTTATTATTTTATTGTTTCTCTTCTACGTGACTTTACCGAAAGAACCAATAATATGAATCCCTGCAGTCACGAAAGCTTTAAATCAAAATTTATTTCAGAGATAAGAGCACTTTCTTGCTCTTGTGACAGGTGCAGTGGAATTGCTTGCATATGCAGTATTCAGCTGCACTTTGAGCCACACAATATTTGATGCACAGCTAAGGCTTGTCTAATTCATCAAGAATCAATCATAGCACGTAATGGTACAGTTATTTTAGCCATTCTCACCACTGATATTTTATAGCGTCCAACGCGTGCACCATGTAACTTCAAAACATTGCGCAGAGTTATATCCTGTGGCCATTGTACCATGTAGTGGAGGCCCTCTAGCCTCTTAGCTCAGCATGGCATACAACTTCATCCACACGACTGCTCTGTACATCTGCTGGCATTTGACAGCAAAGTTTAGTGAACTGGCATCCATCCCACATTATTTTTTACACCCCTCCATGTGGTGCAGTGCAACCACTCTGCAATGCTGTACTGGGAAAATATTTAAGAGTGGCTTTCATTATGTGATGTGTATAAACTATAATATTTAAGAGTGGCTTTCATTATGTGATGTGTATAAACTATAATTATGTATATACTGTACATTTATATATATAAAACACGATGCGCTTTTAAAATGCTCTTCTAACCCTGTGTACATAAAGGAATAGGTCCCTACCATCTGTCCTGATATCAGATACATGAATATCATCCACTTCGTATGATACTGAAATTCTTTTAAGCCAGACTTGTAATGTAAATGTTCATAATAAAGGTCGCAAAAGCCTACGTGTTAAAAGGTAAATGTTTGTTGTTGAATACAGTTTTAATGCATTTGATGATTTTTTTAATATTCATCTCAAATTGATGAAAGGTTTTACAATGTCATTGATTAGACAGCATAAATAATGGAGACATAATAAACTTGTCAGGCATTTGTGGTTTTGTTAAACTTAATTAATTTTAACATTTTAAATAAAAAAAAATATATGATCAAGAAAACACGTTTTGATTAAACTTAAAAGTAGCTTTACGTAGAATACACATTCTTTTCAATTATAAACTATGCAAATGGTATATTTCATAATAAAATAAAAACAGCAGTGTCTGGAGCTGTATATGTGTGGCATGTGCAAAAACGTTGCTGGATTGAGGGGGCTTTTATCCTCAGATCGAGAGAGCAGAGTATCAATGGATAATAAAACGCGAGACTGATTTGAGAGAGTGAATATTCCAAGGGCCAGTGCCTTGTTTGCTGGCAGGGATGGTTTAGGGGCTCAGTTTGAGTCCCATCAGCATTCACTGTTGAAGATCGCAAAGAGAACCAGTCTTGAATTACACTCTGCTGCCACTCTCAACAACTGACAGTGTAACATTCTTCAGACGTGTTTAACATTTTCACGTAAATTTTGATGTTCTCAAAAAGTCACCATAAACGGACAGTATAAAATCACAATCAATGTTAAAACAATGAAGTGTTTGCTCTGATTGCAAAGCCCCTTATCTCAGCTACTCGCATTATTCGTGGAGAGCGATGTCTTTAAAGTGACCCGAAAGACAACGATGTGTGTCGAGTAAAGTATGACTCTTATTTAAATTGTGCATTTCAAAAGGAAGATCTAATTGTATTGAAGTTGTGACACCTGCATACATTTATGAACCATTAAATGCTGCTTATGCAGTTGTGAATTTAATTTAACCTGGCTGATTTGTGAGGAAACGGATGTGAGTGTGATGATTTAGTGTTTTATTAAGTATATACTGTAATGGTAATTGGGGATAAACACATTTTAGTGTGTAACTGAAAAGAACAAAGTCACTTAGACCAATGACAAAGCATTAACAAAAAACATTCAAAATAATAATAATACAAAACTACTTTTCCTGCGAATAGCTTCACACTTTTGCCTAATAAAAGCTTGCCATCAAGCTTTGAAACCACAAATGACACCTCTTTTGAAAGTGTTTTTTCTATTGTATTGTTGAAATAGATCAATATTTGCACCATAATTGTCACTGCTTTATCCCTAATGTTTTTTTTCTTCTGAATCTCATCATGTCCAAATAATGATCATGAGCACGTGAATCATTATTCATCTTCTCCCAGCAATTATTTGGATATATTGTTGCGAATCACCACCACTGCTTTCAAGAGAAACTTTGGCTCGTCAAAGTAGGTGGAGTGTGTTTCGTGGAATATGTACAGGAGTTGTCTTTCTAAAATCAAGATATTGTTAAATGCAATGTGGATACTTGATAAACATTCAAACAAGCAGTCCTTATATTCTTGGTTCTTTCGGTAAAGTCACGTAGAAGGGAAACAATAAAAGAATAAAAAATATATGTAAAAAAATATTTTATTGTTTCCCTTCTACGTGACTTTACCGAAAGAACCAATAATATGAATCCCTGCTGTCACGAAAGCTTTTAATCAAAATTTAAGCAGTCCTTAGCAAATATAATATTCATATATAGTAGCCCTATTGTATGGTGATAACAAAGCCAATTTCCATATTGTTACTTTTTGCATCATTCACATTCAAACATAATTTTGACATTCATCTCCATAAAACCTTGCTAGACATTCGTGTCTATTGGAGTACTTTGTGTAAATCACTGCTTATCAACACTGCAATTTTTTTATATTGATATTTAGTGAATTGTTTGTTGTTCCAGAGTTAACATTTTACAAACTGTAATGCAGCATGTATTCAATCATCTGAACATGTGATGAATGTAAGTGGCTTCGGCTTTTCTACCAGGTTCATTTGGAATACCTGTGTGTTGTGACATCCTCAAATGTTGTCTCATGAATGATTCAGTCATGTAGTGGATATTTTCTCAAATTAGTTTTCATAGTATCGTCTCATTGTTTTATTGTAATAATGCCACGTTACTGAATTCAGTTATATTTAAGATATTGACGTATTATGGTAATGCTTTGATTTCAAAGTTGTACATTTGTAGATTCATATGATTTATCATGGAATTGTCAGAACAATAAAAAAAACAAATGCTGCTTCAGCCACGTAATCATGATTTGTCACATCTGTATGAAACATGTAAACATAGTCTGTAATAAATATGAACCACTACCCATTACTGAAGGAACAATATCAGTCAATTACTTCAGTGTATTGTTTTCTTCATATGCAGTGTATTCTTAAGGGGGGAAAAAACCCTGTACAGCTGTACTGCGTTGTAATTTGTAAATCTGTATTGTGTACACTTTAACCCTGTTAAAAATAAGCATTATGCTGCCGGCATAAACTTATCTTCCACATACATGACAGTAATATTGTGTTGAGCCGGCTTTCCAAAACTCCAGTCGACGCAAACCGCACCACTTTCCGTCTCTCCGCGTTTACCAATTTATTCCCATTCATACACAGCACTAATTAAGTCCTTCAAAGCTGCACGCCGCCCCATGATTGTTAAACGCGTCCCATGTGTCACACTAAGCAATTAACATCGTCTGCGTTAATCGAGAGCTGATTCAAGTGACGCTTGAGATCTCGTGATTGCGTGTGTGTGCACACGTGATTCAGGCAGCGTTAATTGGTTAGCGCGCCGCGTGGCACGTGTTTCACAATCATCGGGCGCGTGCAGCGTGGCTGGGCTTGATCGTTACGGTATCTGAATGGGGAGAAAAATTGGTAAACGCGGAAAGACGGAGTGTGGTGGGCCGCGCCGACTGGAGTTTGGGACACCTTGGTGTAGAGCATGAAAAAAACCCGTGTTTTGTGTTTATTGTAAGAAAATATAGAGCTGTCATTTAACGTATTAATTTTCCCCAGTTTGATCTCTTAGTTTTTTTTTTACCACGGATTTTTACAAATACTTTTGACGTACATTATTGTATTTGAAATGTATAACGAGTCACGTTACGTTTACATGAACACAACAAAAGAGCAATGGAAAGCTTTGCTAATCTAAAATCCCTCCGTTCCACCTTCACAAAGCAGTACAGCACGTAATTTGTATTAATCACATTACAATGAAATTGAAAATAACATTTTAGCAGAAACAAGTCGATTTTTGGCTTGTACGATTTGGTGCTGTGCAACGATAAAATCCACGCGCAAAACAGTGTATTGGGTCATTTGTGCAGCATTATTAACAGGTATGTATTTTATTGTGATTTGTCCTGCAGTTGCATATGTTGTTTTTGGTATTAGACTGATGGTTCTTGCCTTTAATCATTACTTGCACTGGTGCTCATACATTTGGTGTTACCGTTATTTAATGGTACAAAGCGCTATGTATATTTTATTGCCACCATGTTAGAAAGGGCATTGCATCATATACTGGGGATTTAATATTGTTCATGTACTGTATATTGACTAAGGCCGTGCAAAGATCAATATTGATAAAATATGCATTTTCCTGAAGTGGATTTAATTTGTGGCGGAAGAGAGCTTATAAACGTACATGCACTTTGCACAAGCAACTAATTTATGCCTTGCATATATTTCACTCGAACACAAAATATACTGCGTGCAAAAGCACTCATCGAAAAACATACACGCATATACACAATTAAGGCCACACATTCCAAGGAAGATGTATAAATTATCTCCGTAATTACATGTGAAATTGAGTTCAATATTGACACTGAAAACCTGGGAGCGATAATTATTTTTTTTATGTCTATGTCCAGCCTTGCCCTTGTTCAGTACCAATATATTATGAGCTAATGATGACAATTGCATTCCTTTACATAAAAAAAGATTGCAGATCATGATATATATTTTAAAAAGATGTAGATCTTGTTTATTCATTTTTGGACCAATGTCCTAAAGTTTAGATGTTTTGGTTTGATATTTTTCTAAATAAATTGATCTTTTGTAAATACTGTAGTACAAAATAGTCCTACTTTTTGGCAGTTTAAAATGATCTTCAAGACAATTGAA